AACGACGACGTACCAACAACACATCACAGTAAAAATGTGCAATTACACTAAAACCCTAACCACATTGAAAACCGTACAGTTTTTTTTATGACTCCTTAGTTGCGCTCTGTACTTTTTACACATTTTTTAATCACTGTATATACGCTAGAGCATATGAATGTAGTGGCATGTAAACGACCGGCCGCACCAAATAAAACTTAGCTGGAAATACCGACGATTGAAGGCAATAACAACAATTTTTTTTTACCCAACAAACAACGATGAGGAGAAGAGAGAGAGAGAAAGTAGAGAAAAAAATATATTACGATGAAAACGACAAACACGCGCGCACGCGAATAGAATTCATTAAGCGGATAAAAGGGAAAAAAAATTCTATCCAGAAACAGAGACGGGCTACAACCGGGTATTCACCGTTCTTGTGGCTCTTTTTTATTCATGCGAATTACCCAAAACTTACCATACATGCCCATCTCTGCAACCGAATTTTTATACTTAGACCAACAAAATAAATAGAATAAAAAATGGAAGAAAAACTTCCAGGCAATCGAATGTCGCAACTACTACCCCGTCAAAAGCGAAACGAAAAGAAACCAACAAAAATATCAAGCACTTGACGGTACATTCGGCAAAGAAGAAGAAGACGGAAGTTGTCTCAAATTCCTATACCAATTCCGAATCAAAATCAATATTGGAAAACTGCCATTTCCGGTCGTTATTTTTGTCAAATGACTACAAATATTATGCTCGTAAAATTCGACAAATGTGCGAAATGGACAAGTTATGGTTATTGATTACTAGCGAATGGCCTGCAGAAATGGAATGTTGACGTAGTACGTGATTTGCCAAAAAAAAGAAAGTAGAAAAAATGAAATAAAATAAAAACGAGTGTATAAAGTCCGTTTTGCGCGCGGAGCGAATGAATCGAAAACAACAATTCCGCAAGAAATCCCAGTGATTTTTCGTTTCCCATTCCAAAGAGCATATTTTCATGCGGACAAGTATAATAATAAGCGAAGAGAGCGTGCTCGGTGTGTGTGTGCAATGCAAAGTACTGCACAGCATAAAATAGCGGACTGATTTGAGTTACCTTGTGCTACATTGGATGTTTTACAGCACATTTTTTTTACAACAGCGTGCTCGCAATGCACAGAGCAAAAAAAATACACAAAATAAAAATTTAAAAAAAAACAGCAACAACAGTATTTATCGTATAGAAAGAGAAGAAGACACACACACACACAGTTACATGCATAGAACGATGTGGCCAAAAGAGCGCGAGAATGAGAAAGGGGCCGGCAGAGAGAGAGAGAAACGGCGGCACAAAAGAGAGTATGTAAGCGCACGAATGGTGATATAATTGTCGCTAGTGCAATGCTAGGAATTATACAAGTGCACCATTGAAATTGACGAGCTGTTTACAATGTACTTAGCCAAAATGCAATTCGAACGAGGGCGCCAATCAGTCATAGCACGCGTGAGTGCTAAAGTTTTTCAAGTTATCAGATTATTCATTAAAGTCCCTTTTGCTGCTGTTTGCCGCATACAAGCTCTGTCTCTCTGTGCGTCTGTTTTTCTCTATTTTGTGAGTTTTTGTTGTGTATTTTGGGTTGATGTGTTTGTTGGCTTTTTGTTTGTCCATTTTCATTAGCAAACCAATTCAAGGAGCTTTGTTCGCCGCTTTCACGGTTTCCTCTATTTACTGTTCGATACATTGTATGCACGATCAAATGAATATAAAACTATAATTAGAATGGTGTTGTTATCATTAAGTGAAACAACAAACTCACAGCAGGATAGATAGAGAAGTAGTTACCGCCGGTGGTGCTATGGCATTGCTGTAGCAGCTCCGTCGTTTTGTCATTACGTCATTTTGTATTGATTCCTTCAAAATAATTTATCACTTTGTGGGAAAACATTCGAATTATTTATCATAATAATTACATCGAATTAGTTGAGCTGTTCGCGCGCGCACCTACATTCATTTATTGTCCTCATTTTTGTTGTAACCTCCCCCCCCCCCCCCCCTCTTTGACCGATTCCATCCATCGATTTTCCATTAAGACAAAAGGCTCGGTGTAGTTTCACTTGCCGCACTCATTCACTTACTATCTTTCCTCGCATTCGATTCACTCTCTTTCACTTGACATTTCCGAAGAATGCGGAGGAGTTTTGCCTTGATAAGCGAAATAATGATTGATTCATGGGGTGTGTATGCTGTGTGCTGTGCTGTTCTGTGAAACGGAATTTTGCTGCTCATGCACTCGCCTCTTGGAAGCAAATTGAGTCAAGAGCTTTCGAGAAACTCGCAACGTATGAACAATTCATGGCCATAGCGAAAGGTTTCTCATTCTTGGAAAATTATGAAAGATGCAAATTAAATAAACGTTTGCCCGTTTGTCACACACACACAATACAGCACAAAAGCGTGTGGCTGTTATCAACTACGTGCATTTATTCTACCGCATACTTTTGCTATAATGCAATATGCTTCTTTTAGCTTCAAATGTGATTTGTTCATAAACCTTTTTCTCTTCTTCTCGTGTTCCATTTAAATGTCACTCGCAAATCACAATACTTCGAAACACACACAAAGGATTGTGACACGTATCATATTTATTTGTTATTTTGTGAACGCGCATTTCGCCGGCTCTTGTTGGTTTTCGTTTGGTGTATGTATTATTTTCATTTGAATTTTTGTATCGCTCACATATTTTCTCCCTCTCTCTCTCTCTCCCCCTCTCTCTCTCTCTCCCTCTCTCTCTCTCTCTCTCTCTCTCTCCATGCTCATTTTGTTTTGAGGACAACAAGTTATTCATTATGAACGTTAGTAGCTGTACTGAGTATTTCCTAGAGTGTTACCACTCGTCTTGATTCCGTCTCATGTCCAGCAAATTGTACGTGCCACGCACGAGAGGGACAGGAAGAAAGAGAACAGAACGCAGTTTGAACATTCAAATCGCTTATTCAGATAAAGTTCTCAGGTTTATTTTTCGTGCATTTGCAATTCTATACGAATGGAATGTGTGTCGTGTGCGACATCGATTACCAGTTAATTTGTTGTACCATTGAATACACTGCACTGTGTATTTGTTGCCAGTTTTTAAAAACTGGCTTTATCATTGTTGCTGCTGCCGTTGCTGTTGTTGACACTTGAATATAATTCCCCATCGCACATCGGTTTGGAATGTTGTTTATTTGGAAATTCAATGCGACGCCAAAATTCGTGGAAGAAAAATGTAGAGAGAAAAATGACTAATGTGACAATGTTGCAATACGGGATTGAAAATGATTAAACAAATTGCCAATATAACACAACAACAGCCGAGGAATAAAACACACATGAAATGAAGTAATTGATTGGCTTTCGGGGCGAATGAGCGAGTGCGCGCGCGCTTTCGCACTCGGCGATTCAACACATCGATCGTGTTTGCATCGATCGAAAAGTGCATCCGTGGAATGTTGTTCTGGAGCTTCTTCTCATCGTTTCTCCTTCTTCTTCTTTTTCTTCGTTATTTTTTCTGTTTTAAATCGTGCTTCTCTCTGTCTCTTTTCGCCAATCGATGAGTTATTGTTTGGCTAGACAAAACACTACAGAATATCACATTCAAATCAAAAATATATCCGATCGAATTATGGAGTAGCGCGTTGTTGTTGCGCTTTTTTCCCCCTCTCTCTCTCTCTCTCTCTCTCTCTCTCTCTCTCTTCTTGTTGTTGTTTATGTACGTTCATTTATGCCTTGACTGGGTTTGTTTTTCTGTTCATTCTTCTGTTACGTCTTTCTGAAGAGACAGAGAATAAGAATGCTGTTTTGTCGTGTGTGGATGGATGGATGGGCCGTGTGCGCGCCGTTTGCATTCGTGTTTATGTGTATGTGTATGTGTTTCGGTCGGTCGCGGTCGATCGGCCGTTACTAGTGGTGGCATGTGTGGCTGCCGTTGCTGCTGTTGATGTTTGTTTTATTACATTTGCGGTTTCCTGGTATCGTGGATCTTGTTTTCGTTTCGTCGTCTTTTGTTATATATGTATATGGTATGTGAGTATGTATGTGTGTGGATGTGTCGTCTCCACAATATTTTTCGCTCTATACAGTAATTTTTCTTCTCCTCCCGCCTTTTTGGATTCTCGGTGATTTCGCGATATGTTCTGTTCTGTAGCTGTTGCTGTTGCTGCTTTTTTTTCTGTTCCGCTCACTGCTGGTCATCCATAAAACTTTTACAATATTTTTACTATACGTTTTATGCACAATATGGCATGCCACCGCCGCCGCCGTCGACAACGTCGTCGTATACACACAAACGCGTTAAAGATATTTAGGAAAGAAGAAGAAGAGAGAGAGAGAGAGAGAGAGAGAGAGAGAGAAAATTGCGCACAGCTAACCACAGAAAATAAAACGAAACGAAAAAAAAAATAAGTTTAAAGTCGCGCTCTCTGAGAACGCAAACAAGAATTTGATGACGAGAGCAAAAGACTAAATGCTCAGTCAGTTTCGATATCATATAGACACACGTATTCATTCGCATACACATATATTGACTATAGACACATTGAGCTGTTGTTTGTGGTATGAATTGATGGAGCTGCGCATTTTGAGGATGCGTCGAAAATAAGTTATTCCGTTTGAAAAATCAGATCGCTTTGGATAGTTAAACGAGGCACGACTGCTGGATTCTGTCCGTCTCTCTCGCATTCGCTCGTATTTTATTTTTCGTGTTTTTTTTTTCTTTCAAAACAAATATTTGCAATGGGATCCATATAAACAGCTCCAAATACTTCATGATGGGTATGAAAAGCTTTTCACAGCTAGAGTGATTGCAAAACATAAAACGAAGAAATAAATAGTTTACCAACCCCTCGTTTTGAATGTAGGCCGAATTGAATGTGGGCTATGGCGCAATCGCGAGTGCTTACATCCAAACAACACAAACCATTCATTTTCTACAAAATTGAAAAATTTAAATAAAAAAAAATAACAAACATCTCTTTTCTCTTCCAATTCACAGGTGCGCTGCAATGGATGTGATACAGACCAATTGAATGAAAACAATTATACAGAAAAACTACTTCAATCAACTTAATATCGCATAGATACAAATCAAAACCGTTACAATGTGAACGAAAAGTGAAAATGTAAACGACGACAAAAAAAAGACAACAACAACCAATCGAAATGTGAACAATCAGTGCAAATTTCCATGTAAAAAGAAAGTTGTTCTGGCAGGGGGAAAATCCAAATACGGAAATGCCCACAATAATTGAAAATGACAAAACCATTCAAAACAAGTGAATTAAACTCCAAGAGAATTTGTGTTAAAAGACGGAGATCGATTTTAATTTCGATTTCAACTTCAATTGATCGAATGTAAAACCAGAAAGAAGTGAGAAAAAGAAGAAGAAAAATCCAAAACGAAAAAAAACAAGCAAAAAATCAAGATACAAAACAAGTCTGACATCGGAAGAATAAATGAAGTTAAAGTTCCAGGGCAAAACGGAAAAAGGAAATTTTTAAGGAAGACAGAAGAACCGAGAAGCAAAAAAGCAGAAAAAAAATGTCAGCTACATCAACGTCACTACCACCAGCGGCCGCTAATGCGGCCAATGAAAATGTGGAACCATCACCACAAAATAGCCTACGGAATTCAAAGTCATCGAAATCATCATCATCGTCGACGACCGCTGACAAATTGGGCGTATGCCTGCAGGGCTATTTAAAGAAACAAAAAACAATGAAGAAAAAATATTTCGTGCTTGTGAGTAATAATGGTGAAAAACCGGCGCGCTTAGAATACTATGACAGTGAGAAAAAGTTTCGATCACGTTTCGGCCATCCAAAACGCAGTATTGTGCTGAAAAGTTGCTTTCACATCAGTCAACGGCTTGATACGAAGCAAAAATTTGTTATCGCTTTGTATACGCGGGAGGACAGCTTTTGCATTGTCATGGATAACGAATGCGAAATGATGAAATGGCTGAATGCGTTGCAAACACTACGCCAACACGAAGAAAGTGAAGTGGATTTGCCGCGCACAACATTTGGTAAGTAGTAAAATTAGTTCAGAAAAGAGAGACACAAAAAAACTATATGCAAATACAGAAGAAACATAAAAATCGTATGTAAATTCAAGCGTGTATGTAGTAGTTCTTGTCGGAATGAATAACAAAGTCAAGCCAAAAAGCGACAAAATGCAAATAATAACATACCAAATGTCATCGAACTGCAAATGAAATTTTGCAAAATTGCCAATTGTGTTGGCGAATGCAATTGGCGGCGAGCGAACGCGTGCGAGAGCACATACAAACACAGTTTTCTTGTTCAATTTCAATTATCCAATTCAATGCCTGACTAAATAAAACGCACGACTGCGGACAGGTTTAATGAAGACGTTTTTGCAAACAAAATGCATACAATATAAATTGAAAAATGGAAAATTATGAAATGGCATTGTGGTGCATTACATAAATTTTCAGTCAGCAACAGCAGCATCAACTTTATCTCCCGTGTTGAAAATCATATTTTCAACAGAAAATAAAATGCGAATGGTATGCACACAGCAGAGAAGGCAAGGCAAGCCGATTGTCGGGCGGTCGTTTGGTAGGTCGACAGTTCAGGCAGGGAAAGAAAAAGGTTCTCTCTCTCTCTCTCTCTCTCTCTCTCTCTCTCGCATAAAACAGTACAAATGAGAAAAAAGACACAAACACAAAGTCGCATACACGAATCGAATACGTGTGCGCTTTTATTTTATGGCATTATCATTTGTTGCACATTCAACAACACGTTATAACGATATATTTTATTCGTTTCAACGGTTTATAAATCAGTCCAAATTAAACCCGAATGGTTTATGAGGTTGTAAGTTGTACATTGTTACAACAATGAGAAAAACGAAACGAAATAAAAGCGAAACAAAAGTGAACCGTGTGTGCCGGAATAATGAAATCAATATACAAATCTAAATAACCGCCTGAATCGCATTCCTCTGCGTGGTTTTTGTGCCTGCCTGCATGCCTGCGAATGCGACTTGGCGAAATGTCGTGAAAAAGGGAAAATACAATACAGTAACAATCCACTTAATTGATCCGCGCGCAGCCTTTCCCAGAACTTGAACACAACACACAAACCATAGTATGGACTCGAAAAAACGAACGAACGACAAAAAAATACAATAACAACAACAACAGCAACAGTATCAGGAATCAACAAAGTCAGAATATGTCTGTATCGAACCGGCAACCAATAGGAAATTCATTGGTGCGGCTAATTATTTTTATATTTCTGTGATTTTCCAAAGAGATATCAACAATGGCATTTCTTGGCTCGAGAGAGAGAGAGAGAGAGAGAGAGCCGGGGACAACTCTTGTGCGTGAGCGTATGAATTTACTTCACTCCATTCGGGAGGGAAGAGAGACTGAGTCTGCAGCGGAAAGCGACATCGAATGAAAATAGTCTGTCTCTGATTTGATTTGTTGCTTTTTCTCTCTTTCAACTGATTTTTTTTTCTGCCTCTCTGCTGCGCGCACTTTGTTACTGTTGCTGTGTGTTTAGTTCGCATTCGTCTATCGCGCTTATTTTCTCGTCCCGTTTAATTTCTGGTGTAATGGCATTTGGTGATACACCCGTGTTGTTGCACACATTTAAATCACCTCGATTTGACATTTAATTTCGGTATCCGGGTGTATGTTTCTCACAGAGAGACGCACGCTCCTCTTCGATGTTCGCCGAATTTTGTTTTGTTGTTCATTCTTGTCGTTTATGTTCGGTTGTTTATTGCCCCGGTTCACCGGTATTTCGAATGCGCGTGTGTTCGATTGCCGCCGGTTTTGCTTTAATCGAAGAAATATTAAAAGAATTTGACAATTTATTTCCGAAAATTAGCGCGTTTTAAAGCGCGGTGAATGAGTGCTGGATCATCAAAATTGACAAGAATGCTCAATAAATACTCTGAAAACTGGCTACCCACCGAACGAAAAGAAAAATGCACCAGTTTTGTTGTTTTTTTTCTTCTTTTCGTTCGTTTTGCTTTTTCAAAAGAAAGAAAAAACAACCACATTACTCTCTATGCGGTGAATGCTTTTTCGTTGATGTTGATTCTTTGCTTTTTTCGTTTGTTTCTTCGTTCGCTTCGTTTTTTCCCACATTTTTGCGACTCGCTGTCTTTCGCTCTCTCTCTCTCTCTCTCCCTCTCTCTCTCGCTCTCTCTCTCTCTCTCTCTCTCTCTCTCCGTGTGTGAGTGAGTGAGTGAATGAGTGCGCGCCTTTTTTTTCGGTTGTTTTCGCATTGTGCTCTTGAAAACAAGCGAACCGGTAAAGCAGTTAACATCGAAAATGCAACATTTTAAGATTAATGATGCCATTATAGCAACATTGTAGCACAAAATAATCAAACATTAAGTAAATTCAAACAGTAGATGAAGCTAAAAGAAACAAATGTGTACGGAAAAGAGCAGCCAGCAACAAAACAACAAACCAGGCAGACAAATACACACGGTGTACGCGCGCGACTGAAGCCCAGAAACAAAGCAAAGAATGTGCTGGCATTTTTCAATTTCGAGCTTGAGCTTGAGCTTGAGCGAGCCAGTGTGAGTATAGGCAAGCTAGTGAATGAGTGAGAGAGCAATGATGCGAGTTTGTATGTATGAGCAAGCTTCGTTCACAAATGGCATAATACTTGTTTTATTGGTTTGAAGATGAAAAGTAATGTGGCAAAGGTACACACAGAAAAACACCCAAAAAAAACAACACAACAGCAACAATCGAAGAACAAGACACGAAAAGTGAGCAAATATAAATAACATTTACACATTCTTATTCATCGTTGTCGTCGTCGTCGTTGTTGTTTCCTTATCATCTTCAATATATTCGACATGTGTATCTATACGAAATACACGTATATGCACTTCGGAATCGCTTACAATATTTGGTCGATTGGAAGAGCAATAAACGGCCAGCACCGTGCGCGTACACTGTGCAAAATGCGACGAGCAAATTATTATTTGTTCGCCTCATTTCTATAGATAATTTGCTCAATTTTAATGGCCAGTTGCAAACAAATAAAAATGTTGCATATCGAGATGTGTGTTACATGGTCGGCGGGTCGGGTTGTTTGTGCTGTGCACACACGTATGTCACACATCATGATATTTATGTGCTACTAATTTAATTACTCTGGCTCTGTGTGAAACACCCGAAACGGGCGTCAGATTTACGACAAAGCCAATTCGATAGCCCGAAGAAATAAAGAACATCGCACACGATGACGTATGCATCACATAAAAGCAATTGCTGCAACATAAACAAACGCATTCACTTACGCACATGCCTTGCCAAAAAGAAGAAAAAATAACAACTATTTTCTCATAGCGAAAAGATCAAGATGCCAATGGGCTTTTATCGCATTGTTCTATCGCTGTCGCCGTCGTCTTTGTCGCTGTTGTTGTTGTCTTGGTCGCCGCACAGCACAGCAAGTTACATGTTTTTTTCTTCGGCTATTTTCAGTGCATGCCTCATACAATGTTATTTGCCTGTTTGGCCGGTGACGTCAACATGATGACGTGATGCTCAACAAAAACGTTTATTTATTACATCAGTTGTTGCAAAGTTGACCATATTTTTAATAACATTCTAAATTTAAGCGATCACGAGACATTTACACACAAAACTACTTTTGTTGTCAATGACTCAGGCAATAATTTATCCACGATTTGGCGACTGGGCCCGAAATGGGGCGAGACAGAGAAAATAGTGCTGCGTTTAGTCACATACACCACGCATTTTACGACAATTCGGCCGATTGGGTAACGAAACAGAACCTGAATTCAAAAATCGAACGCGTGTTCTCGATCTGATATGATTATTGTTATTATTTTGATGTGAATTTCATTCTCTTATAAATATCTATATATATATATATATATAATCGGTTTTTTCTCTCTCTTTCTCTTTTTCTCTATTTTCAGAACATGTGTGGGAAGTGCAAGTACATCGAAGAGGTTTGGCGGTTGAGAAAAATATCGTTGGCACGTATCATCTCTGTTTAACCGATAAAGCGTTGCGGTTGTCACAGACCGGCTCAAAGACGACACAAAATGGTGAACAACGAATGCCATACGTTGAGTTTCTATTGACAACGATCAGACGGTAATTTATTTTGATTCGTCCATTTTCTCTCTCTCTCTCTCTCTCTCGTTCCTTTCTTTCGTTCGCTCTCACGTCCCGTGATAAAAGCAAACGATTCGCTTTCATAATAATATTAATAAATACGCGTGCGATAATTTTTGTCATGCTTCTTCTATTTATATGAAAGAGAATTTTCCGCCTTCTGTTTTATCGAGTTTCTTTTTTTGTTATTTGTGGGGCCACCCAATCATTTCGTTGGCATTTCTTGTGCTCATATTTTCTTGTCTTTCGCCAATTTTTTCTCTTATTCTTCTTCTTCTTTCGATGTTGTCGCTGTTTGTGTGGTGACTGCAGATGCGGCGATTCGCAGCGATTTTTCTATATGGAAGTGGGACGTCACAGTGCAATCGGCGCCGGAGAGCTTTATATGGAAACGGAAGATCCGTTGATTGCACAAAATATGCATACAACGATTATCAAGTAAGTGTTGAGCCGTTTTTGACTTCGTTTACTCCATCCATTCCATCCGGCTTTTTTGGTTGAATGATCACAATGCTTGATTAACTTTCAATTATTTTTTCTTGTATGCTAGCGCAATGTCAACAAATCGAAACCGTGAAGAGTTCCGAAACCGGTCATCATCTGCAAATGAGGCGTCCAAGCCAATGATGGTGCTACAACGTCGTCAAACGCAAGGCAGCAAAACGCTAAACTTTTCACCATCAAATGGAGCCAATTCCGTTGTCGGTAAGTTACTCAAACCAATTTCGTTTACATTTCAAACGGAAGTTGACTTTTCCTTTCGACGAAAAGAATTCATATTGTTAAAATACAGAAGAAAAATAAACACACACAAACACAATCCAAATTTAAAAAAAAAGAACACACAAACACACTTTTTGACATCCAACTTTATTTTATTGTTCCGTTTTTTTTTCTTTCTAATCTCCTGTTAACGAACTCGTTTGTTTGTAACTTGAAACGCGCACGAGTGTTTCGGACATTTTAGTTTGGCCTCCTCACCTCTGTTCCCTTTCTTCTTTTTTCACTGTAAAAAAGTTTTTTAAAAACACAAAAACGTTTGTTCCAATTCTGTATCCACCCCATTTCCTCTTTCCTTACGATTGAAATGGCTGGATTTGGTGTACTTTTCTCCGCTTTTTCCACGGGGTTTTCCTTTCCATGGGTAGCACACACTCACACCAACAGAAATTCACTTTTGATGAAAATATGTCGAAAGATAAACATGTGTTTTATGACTTGAAACTTTTGTAAAACTTAAATTATAACTTTACGCCAAACTTATGCTATCGATCCGAGAGTAATAATAAACGAACAAAGAGATTTAACAAAAAAAAATCCGTGTACTCGAAAAATGGGAAAATCATATATAATAAAACACTTGAAATACGTGCGTTTTCCCCCTTGAAAATTGGTTTGAAGTGTTGTTTCAAGTTAGTTTCTCCTTCACATTCCCTCCGTTTCCCACATATATATATATACATATATATATATATATATATATATATATACTCAGTAATAATAATAATTCCAATTTTCATTTCGGTGTGAATAACCAAAGACAAAAGTAAAATTATAAATAGATCCCCTTTTCCTGCTCACTGCACACTTGTTTTTTAGACTTTTCATTCACTTTTCCACCACAAATTGTTACATTTCTTTCTCTATCCTGTTATTTTTTTATATTTTTTTTTCTTAATTCAAACGTTAACGAACTTATGGAGTATGGATTTTTTTTCTCTTTCTTTTGTTGTATTAAACTTGATGTAGTTTTGTTGTTGTGTTATACCTTTTTTTATTATTTTGGTTTTTTTTATTCTTTTTTGATTAGTGCAATGGGGAATATTTTTTTTGTTACTTTGAAATGTTTAAAACACATTTTGTTTATATTTATATTTAAAAGTTGCATTTTTGAAACTAATACACTTTTGCATAGCTGTGAATTGAGTAAAACCAAAGAAAAAACAATCATTCCTGATTTTATTTCAATGAACTTAATACTTTTGATTGTATACATATATCCATTGCGAAATGATTAATATTTTTGGTTGAATTTCGATAATAATTTACTCCCTCCCCACATTCTCGATCATTCTCGATTGTGTTTTTTTCTTCTCTTTTTGTTTCTGTCGTTAAAGTGCAAGAGCAAGAATTATATACAAAATTGCTGGCTGCAATCATTCCCATTTTAAGCTCGTCATAATATGACTCATAATATGTTGACAATTTCATACCAATCTAGTTTAGTGTTTCGCCACTTTCTGCTGATTTTATTCACAAGACACGCTCATAAATTGTCGATGGCATTTTTATAGTTTGAAAACAAAACAATTCAACAACAAACCAACCAACAAACCCAAATAGAAATTGACCACAGCTTTATTTTTGTTGCTCAATTGAATCATGCATATATCATTCTCACGAAATGAGAGCATCAATCGAATGAAATGGTTACAGTTCGTGACTCTGGCTGAGCACATGAAATGAGTTGGAAAATGTAAGAACGACAAAGTTCCCAACTAGGGGCTTCACGCGATTTTGCAGAACGCAAATAGCTCTGAAAAAATAAAAATAATAGTGAATCAAATCTTCAACCGAAAATTTGAACCATTTTTGAAGGATTTTGGCAGATTTTGGTGGATTACGATGAATATTGGAACATTTTTTGACTATACAATCTGCACTAATTTACTGGTATGCTCGTCAATCTCAAATATCTATGTATAATATTCATTAGACTGTAATGTCAAAAAATGTTCCAATATATTCACCGTTATCTACCGAAATCGTTCAAATTTACGGTTGAAGGTTTGATTCACTACTATTTGCTACTATTTTTATTTTTCATATGTATACACGTAAATTTGACATATCTATGTATATTCAGTAATATTCATTTGTCGTTCACGATAAATATTGGATATTTCGGATTCACATGCATACCATTCAATTTCTAAGTTATTACTTGATGCGTGCGGATATAAAAGATGAAAAAAATGATTTTACCCCCTAGGTTCCCAATTAATTTGATGGTAGAAATCCTAGCAGTAGGGAAAAAAAGCTAGAAGTGAAAAAAGCATTGCATTGCCTAGGCTAGGGATTAGGTTCGCTATAAATTTGTGTTAAAAGGCTAGAAAAAACAAAAAAAAAACACACAGAAACCAATAATAAAAAACCAATAAAACAAATTTGTGATAATCCGAACCCGTTCTCAAACATTTGCAATCACACTTAATACAGAGCATGATGATGACTCGGAATCGACGTATTTGATAACAACGCACCATCATTGTCAGAATCCGAGTCACACACATCACCACAGTCATCGTCGTGGTTCGGGCTATCGCTATCCGGTTGCCGATACAGTTGTTGAAGAGTCAACGGGTGGTTCCATTGTGACGGTCATCAGCAACACATCATCAATTCGGCCAAACGCTTCAACACCGGACATCGTTCTTACCAATTCCGAATCGATGGAAAGCGAAGTGCCAGTTGTTGACGACGACCATCAACCAAACGTCGTACGATCACTATCGATTGACACAACGGAAAACATTGCAGGAGATGATTGTGTGGATTCGTCAAAGGCGGCCATGCCACTGCCGTCGTCATCGTCGTCGTCCACGTCTTTGTCAGCAACAACTGCTCCGGCAACCGAACCAATTCCAAATAACATCAACGAAGCGGGTACGGATTCTATACAAATCAATAGTTTCAGTACGAACAATTGCAAACACATAATCACTTCTAGGATCTGGGTTAATGCAAGGGGATATATATATATATATGCATAATAATACATAACTAATTCTTTATAGCTGGTTGTGTTTTTTTTTTGCCTGACCACTTTTTAATGATATACCATTTCAAGTTTACAAGTCTACGCGGTCTCAATACCCAACCCTTCGAATATATGTATACCCTGAGATCCGTGATTTCGATGAATGCAAAGCATTTGAATGTTTCAATTGTTCGACTTCAAAAAACGCTTTCTCTTATGCCTTCCATTCCGTTCATTTTTCTTCAATCATTTTCTACGCTGCTGCTTTTTCAATCATAAACTGTTATCTATATCACTTTGCTATATATTACTACATTGTATGTAACAAACCCATGGAATGAGTAATCCCGCCAGGAAAGGGGAAAAAACAGAGCAGAGAAAAAGACAGCCGAAGACAGTGATGAAGAGAAATATATAGAGCTCACAGTTACAACTGAATAATAAATAACGGAATCGGAAATAGAAAGAGTTTTCGGAAACGAAACGTTGAATTGAATGTAATGAAGCTAAGAAAGACAAAAGAAAACGCCTTTTACTCATCTAATATGCTAATTACCACTGAATTATAGGCAAACCCATTGTTTACTATTTTTATTAATTGGCTATATCAGTATTATATATCTAGATACTCTCTCTCTATCTCTCTTCGTCCATATCGTGTATCAAGATTATATATCGCAAACTTATCTATTTAGCTCATTTTTTGCGTTTTTTTTTTTCATAGACCAATTAAAACTATAAGCACACACCAAAATGTATTCAATGTGTACATTTATTATCGTCTGAAACAGTTTTTTTTTAATGGTCAATGTTGTAACTTTTAATGTTGTTGATATTCGTTGTGATTTGCTTGTTAGATTGTCATCTCGTACCAGTTTGAGGTATAGTCTTTATACACTACAAGTGTATATATATACACCTCAAAATGAATGTAGAAATGACGGTGATAAGACTTTGTTCTGACATTACCGAGAGACGTGTATAATTATGCGTTATGGTCACAACGACTCAACAGCACGAAAAGACCTATAGCATCATGCTTAAGATACCGAAATGAACTCTCTCTATCTCCATTTTTTTTTATATTCACATTGAGAATGTTGTACAAGCTATTGGCCACCCCTGTCAAAGTGAAAATATTTTCTTTTCATTGCGGAAAATCCTAAAGAAAGATCATGCTTGGAATGTACTTAAAACGCAAAATAAGGAATATTGACTTGGAATTTTCACATCTAAAATATCGTCAACGACTGTATAAAATGAGAAATTTGCTGAAAATTCCAACCAATTCACGTTCTTTCTGCTATTTTGAGATTTCATCCAGTTCATGTGTTTCTTTTCTTCTCTTTCTCTTTCAAGAGAGAGAGAGAGAGAGGGAGAGAGAGAGCGCTCTTTTTCGTTGGGTATGTGCCACTTTTTCCCATTTCTACATAAATACTTATTACATTTGAAATTTGCATGGGGAATTCCGTAGCTTGGAACAGGGTTCTCATCTAGCTTTATGTCGTTTTCTATATGCCAGTGTCTGAGTTGTCATTGCACACACACACAAAGACACTCTCACAAGAAAAACGAAATGTGCAATGCTTACATATATTCGCTTTTCCGCGACGACTTGTCCGCCGCTTGTTGTTTTTTTTTCACTCTCTCTATGTCGTCGAAATAATAAAAAAGAAGTCCAATGAAATGAAACAAGTAGAAAAGAGGACAAACTTTTAACTGCATTTTAAACTAAATCGACTCAATGTGCTCATTACACTCTCAAAACGCATTCACCATATATACATGTCAACTCACTCGAATTTGCCATTTTGTACATAATAATTCACTGTGTACTCTTCAGTTGAAACACATTTCATTTGATGCATATTGCTTTTCATTTGAATTCGTCACTTTTTTTCTTCTTCTTATCGTTTACTCAGAACCAGTTGAACATTTTATTTCCGATTTATTTTAACTAAATTCGATATATCCGTTTATTTTATGTTCGAAATGTATTTCCATTCCGCTAAACTGCTCTCACAATTCACACAAATTCTGACATTTTGGCATCATTTTTTCTGAAATACACACACACACACATTTAAATAGCAATGCTCTTTTTTATATCTTGATGAAAAAAAAACTGTCGCATACATAAATTGTAGGCTATGTGTATGTGACACACTGGAAAATAACAAAAAAAAAGTTCATTTGTCGTGTTGTGTATCATTTTTTCCAGCGCAAAATAATAACAATAATACACAAATGGCCGGCATTGTCACGGCAATGCGACCGGCGGGCGCTGTAGTAACAACCACCATCACAACAATCGTTTCACAAAATCCATGTCAAACCGTCATCACTTCAACTTCATACAGTACGAATTCACTAAAAGCAGCACCAACCCAATCGGTGGCTGCCACTAAAGTTGGAACATCGTCGTTCATCAATTTGACCACATGTAATCCACAATATCTTCGTTCAATGCAGTCATCTTCCTATCATCGTCGTCATTCGGTTTCAGGTACTGTTCGCCAAACCCACCATCACACACATATTCGACACATATTGTTTCCGGTTTATACTCTGTCTTCATTTTTTTTTCTCGATTTTTTGTTGGTTTCGAATCATAAATACAAAAATATAACCAAAATTGCATTGTTGCATGGATTTGCATCTTGAGCTGTAGGTTACATCGCTTGCTTTCATTGCGTTGGCCTATTTCAAGTGGAAATCCGTTGTAGAAAAAAAGTAGATTTTTATGCTAAAATCCACCTGCTGTTTATTTTTCCCAATCGTAGCGTTTTTTTTTCTCGTCAAATCCACACACACATCGGTGTTCCGTTTTCATTATTGCAATCCATTTCACAATTTGCTTTTCCAATGTTTCATTCGAAACGTTGATCGCTTTTTTTGCTGTTATTTTTTTTCGACTTATCATGGCAAATCGATTGTTTACGATTCGCAACTGTTTGCACAGGAAACTTCCGTATCGCAACGAAAGAAAAAAAAGACTTATCGCAGTTTTATTTTCGATTTAATTTAATCATTTCCATTACTGATGCACGATATTTTTTGTGTGTTTTCTCTCTCTCTCTCTCTCTCTCTCTGTTGATGCCGAGTATACAGGAAATTTGAACGTTTTATACTCAAATTTTTTCGCTCTCTTCCTTTTGTTGACATTCTCACAACTCGTGTTCATTGTTGCAAATATTCTTTTGTTTTCTGTCTGGATGTGTACGTAGAAATTTCATTCTCTAGTTAAAAAAAAGTACTCTTTGCATGTGATAACAAAAAATATTCTAGGAATTAAACTCATTGACCAACACAATCATTCATTTACACCTTCCATTCAATTTTAAATACGAACAAAAAAAAGAAGAACATTTTTACGTTAACAAAAATAAAAACCATACAAAAATCTCAAACCCATAACTCAGAAATGCTAACAAAAACGGTTTGTCATTGGCCTAACACCCTAAGTGACTAATAAACATTCATTCATTGACTCTTTCTATATGTTTTGTATTCCCTCTTATCCGTATTCCTTCTCTTGAATTCTTATTTTAGACATACTTTTTTTGCGTGCGATTCCACCATTCGCTGTGGAAATGTTTGTGTTCCATTTCATTTGGTTTGAAATCGTAGTTCAATTTTTTATTTTGATTCGAGTGTGATTACGTATTTTTGATTTCTGTTTTTTTTTCATCATTATTTTCGTTCATTTTGTTTCTGTTTTTTTTTTATTTCGTTTTGGTTCCTCTTGATTTTGTTTACGTTATTTTTTCTCTCTTTGTTCTTTCTTTTTACAGTAGTAGCTGCAAATAGTTTTTCAGTTCTTGCGTCAAATGAATTAACCGTATCACATCAAAGAGCATTTTCATTACCAATAACAACCACAACCGCTTTATTGACATCATCGCCTAGTGAATTAAATGCAGAAAATTCTCATATCAAAATGAAATCCGTAGCACAAGTGCCCATCATTAGTTCACAGCCAAATAGCGGTAGTGCGATCCCATCTATATCGACGATGATCACAAAATCAAATCATCTCCATCATCATCATCAGCACAGTTGTTTTCATCAGCGAACACGTTCGCTACCACTCACCGAAGAAGAGTCACCTGTCGATATGATGATGTTCCCATCGGGCGCATCGTCGTCATCATCACTGTTGCATTCATTTGACCGTAGTAATACCGAATTGCATCCGGTGGCTACATCTGGTGGTTGTTTGGCATCATATCCGAAAAATAGCATTTCATCGCTGTCGTCAATGCATTCGTCATCGAATTCATCGATAACAACAGCCGCTGCGGCTGCTGCTGCTGCCGCCGTCTCGGCCACAGCCGAACTGAACGGTTCGTCGATACTGCGCAAATTGTGCGAAACCATGTGCACATTGAGAAATGCCGACGGAAGTCGTAAACACCTGCCAACCTGCTGTTTTTATCACATCGATAAACCAAGCAATAAAAATCACACTCATAAACCAATCAAACCGAACTATCAAAATAATCGTTTGAACATTAACAACAACAATCACATTCACACCGCGTCTTCTGATGCCGTTGAGTCGGCCGATTCATCGTCCACCTATTTATTGATGACATCATCATCATCCGCGGTCGCAATGGCCAATCGAAAGGGTATGCACGATTCATACATCGATTACTGTAACGAGCAACAATACAAACGTGACACACATATTGTTTCAAAAAATGCATCAACCTCCACATTTACTAACTATACGGAAATCAGTCCACCATCCAATGATCAAACACTTATTGTACCATCGATCATAATTAGTGCACCAAACTCATCTAGCATTAATCAAAACATGCCTTCATTAACCATAGTTTTTCCATCGTCATCATCATCACCATCCACCTTATCCACATTATCATCTTCATCATCAACAAAAACACCACCACCAACAACCGTAGCATCGATAGCATCAGCATTGCGCTGCAAAGGCTGCAACTCGCTGAGGAGTATGTAGTCGAAATGCAATTCAAGATTTCGTACACATAATATAATAGAGTATAATCTTCTCCAACTCTTTCTCTTTCACCCTCATTCTCACTCTCTCTCACTCTCTCTCTCTCTCTGTGTGTGTCTCTTTCTCCATGGACCTCTCTGAATCCAATGCGATATTCATAAGTTTCTCGTATTACCCGACTAGTTTTTTTTACCTCTTCTTCCGCTTTGCTAACAACAGTTCAATTTCACGCGCACGCTCACTCGCAACTGGAGTCTCGAGTCAGAACGTGATCTGAAACCGCAAATAGTTGTTTTGCAACGGAAATCAACATTGTATTTTACGTTGTCGACTAACAAGCTCTCTCCTTTTACGTTAGTTTCCATTATTAATTTTTCTTCAATGCGATTCTTCTTCCCGGTCGTGTACTTTTTTTCGGTTGCTTGAAAATTGTGCACTCTCTTATTCTCTTTTGTGTTGAAGCAGAGAGCGACTGCGTGTGTGTGAAAGACACATAGCGGAACAGAGAGAAGAGAATAAGGGAGCATGGGAGCAGTGTTGCTCTTTACAGCAACAATCATCATGCTCAATTTTAATATGAGTCTCACACCACTTATTACAGAACTTTTGGATCATTTGTGTCTAACAATGCATAATTATATAAATAACTTATGACTATCGTTCCATTGAATTCCATATTGAAAGCGAATTTCGTTTCATTTTGATTGTTCTATCAAACTAATCGTAGTACAAAATCTGCACACTACACAGACACACCAACCATTTCACCAAAATTAAATATCAATGAATTTCCGGGCTGAATTGTACTTTTGAATGAATTTTACGAATGCAAAGCGCCAATAACGCAGCGCTTTGAATATCAAGTTAATATTTAACTTTGGACATCTCTCTCTCTCTCTCTCTGCTCCAAGTTTATGATTACTGTTTTCAGCATGCTCATCTATTTTAACGTTGAGCACTTCCATTCGCATACTATTGTTATTTAATAATAATCAAATGAAACAATTCATAAAACTCTTTCGCTCTTTTTTTTTGCGTTCGCTCTTTCATTCATTTGTTCTAGTTGAATTTAACTGCTTTCTTTATTGCATGATTAATTTCGTAGTTCGTTAAAATTTGTATAGGCTAATGAAAGCAAACAAAAAATTGGTATGGGTTTTTGTTCTGTTCCAGTTTGCATGCCATTTTTATTGAATCACTTATAAACATTTGCATATGTTCTTCCAATCAAGCCAACGAATTGAAGATCCTAATCATAAATTTTAAGTTTTATTTCGCATTTTTCTTACCTAAATTTAAATGTACAGAAATTTGTTTAAGACGGTTAAATGGTTGCGCACATAAAAATGCTTCAATTATTAAGATAGACCTAAGCGTGTGATGGACGTTGTTTTTTTTATATTTTGAATATTTTAAAATGATTATTTTTTTGCTCATAATTTTTTCATTCGATTTCGCCATAGGCTTGAATTTGCGTGATCGTTGCGGCAGTTTACCAACGCATAATCGAACAACCAGCGATGGAACCGCGCAATTGATTCAGAATCAATCGATGCCGCCACCACGAACCATACCATTAGCAATAACTGGACGTCCGCATTCGATGTACACAAACAGCTATCGCCATAGTCCACCGGTCAATTCGAATCATAGCGGCAGCCAACCGGTGCCGTTGAGTCCAAGGTAAATTACATTCCAAACAAATTGATACACACGCACATGCATACTGGGAGAGAGAGTGTGCTTGTGTGTTTGTGTATGGAAAATCCAACATGCGTAATTAATCAATCAATTCGAATGTGAGATATGTGGCACCAGGCGATGTGCATCACGCACCTATCGAATCATACGTTGAGCAACAACAGCAACAATCAAATCCATTGGCAAATGAGAGACAGGGCGAGAGTGAGAAAATGTTCTAATCACTTTTGATGTTGCTACATGAAACACATCAATATTCCTATATTAAAACTTAAATAATTGGATGGAACTTTTCACCACAAATTTAAGCAAAACGGTTTTTTAATAATGGACGCGTGATATCCCCCATTTTATTAAGCGCAAATGCGCTATGCTATTAAAACAAAGCACTTCGCCGAAGCACTTTTCAAAACAAGCGGTAATAGTTTTTAATAACACTATTGATTTTCCAATTTGTTTTTACTCAAGCTTTCATGTACACACACGTGTGTGTGTGTGTCTGTGTGCCATGTGAAAATCTTCTCTTTTTAATTCAAACAACAAAAGTTTCCCCATTTTATCGCAGCTTCGTTGCTCAAGAGAGAAAAAAAAAAACGTTCCCCCTGACTTTGTAGTAGGTAGTTTTAAATTTTTAAATTGACTCGCGTGCAATTTTTATAAATTAAAATGAAGCACAAAACATGTTGAAATCGAAATGAAAATCCGAAAAATCAATGGATTCACTTAATTGACGATTTTTACATTGTTAAAAATCGTTCCATTTATAAACCAAATCTCATGTTTTATTCACAATCAATTGAAAATGTTCCAACCATATAATTACTAGTACTCGTTTTGAATTATGTAAATTTTTCGCTGGTTTGCGCTCTCGACTTGCCCGGTCGGTCGGTCGGTCGGTTATTTATTGATGTTGTTGTTGTTGCGATTATCGTTGTCGTTGATAGCTCTGGTTGAAAGACCTTTTTGCATTCAATTGTCAATGGAAATCGTATTTCTTTAGAATGTGGCCGCGTTTGCACGTGTTGAAATGTTTATGTCAAAAATCGTTTAAAATCAATCGCATACGTAATAATAATTAATTTGTCGTTTTGTTTTATTTTGTCCACAGTTTGAAAACGTTCTCAAAAAGTTGCTCGGAAAGTGATGGTTCGTCATTGAGTATTGATGAGCCAGATGGTTGTTTCACCCCAGACGAAAGCAATGGTTTCCCAGTAAAAACGTACAAGTGAGAGTCTTGAAAATTTATGATTTTCCACATTAATTTTCCGATTGGAAATCCCAAAAAATTCATTGATATTTAATTTTCGTGTGTTTTTTCAGTCCATGCACATCTGGATCTGTGATACCTGAAGAGAATGGTGATGAATTTGTGACATCATCCGATCATAGCATACCAAATATAAATGGCATTCGTACGGGCTCAAGCAGTGGATCGCTTTCGCTACCAATTCAATCTCAGCAACAGCAACAACAGCAACCGTATCGAACCGAGAGTCCACAGTCAGCATACAGCCCATACGGTAATTCACCAGTCATTGATCAACCGAATAACACGGGCTATATGATGATGTCACCTGGCGCCGATTATAATAAAGGGTATGTCACACAATGACAACGTTGTTTGCATGAATTTCCACTTTAAATTCAAATGATTTGCTTATTGAAACCAATTCTTAAACTCGAAATGTTAAATCCATATGACTTGAATGTGTATGTGTTTTTTTCTCTCTATTTTAACAGAATGTTTGCAAGTACGAACTCGTGCGCACTGAGTCAAGCGTCCAGTTTGGCAGAGGATTGCGTTGATTCGTATGTGCCAGTTCAGAGTGGTTTACGACCAACTGGCGAAGAGTACATTGATATGGAACAAAATCTTCCGCATGCCAACAATACCAGCAGTATGAGTTCGGCCGCATCCAGTTGCAGCATCACATCGGGCACACCGTCAACAGACTTACGCTTTGCCGAATATCAACTCGACAAAGTGGTGTCACATTTCACGCCCGATGATGATGATCCAAAGTAAGTCGACCTACTAAAGACTAATCGGTTGGATTCATGTTCAAGTTTTAATTCAATTTTCCCACCTTTTTCCCTGCAGTATGTTCCTGGAGCGACCAATTCGAGCTTATTCGGTGGGCAGCCGACTGGAGCACAACAAGCGCAAAATGCGCGTTGATATGCTATCGGCTGAACATGGCAGCAATACGTCACGTGTACGAGCATTTTCCGTGGGATCTAGAGCCAAAGTGGCACGATCCGATCTATACAAAGGCTTAACTAACTCAACGAATTTAATGAAAGCAAATAGTCAGGACATTGCAAATTTGAATACAACGATAAACAACAACCGGATGGCGGTGAGCAGTTCGTCGCACAATCAAAATGCATTAAACAACAATATTAGCAGTGGTGGCAGCTCGAGTGACATGAACAAGAAATCCATGAGCATACCATATTTGGCGAATGGACCACGGTCAACGGTAAATTTACGATTTGAATTTAATGAAGTCATACACATTTTACTAACGTCCATTTCTATTTCTCTTCAACAGGAGAGCTGTCACAATCTCAACAATAAGAGCAATTCAATCGATCCGATGGACGATCTAATGGAAATCGATTTCTCAAAGAAAGACGATGATTCATTGTCGAATGATTCGAGCTATGACCCGAAACACTCGAGCTGCTACGATCTAATGGAAATTGAATATCCGCAAAATGGCAATCAGGCGGAGATTGGCAAGAGAAAGAAGTCTGCATCAATATCGGGCACATCTGTGTTGAAAGAATCGGCAGCAACATCACAGCCGTTGCCAATTGGCCGACGCAATGATGGGCCAAGTGACAGTGACGGATACATGTCAATGAAACCGGTCGGTAGCAGTGATTCAAAGCACAGCACAAACAGTTTAACATTTCAACGGGGTGTCAGTAGCTCGAGCATTTCATCGTCACCAACCAAATATGCTTCAACAAGGACGGCAAGTATTTCATCTCCAGCGGCAACGCATCGAAATATTCCAGTGTCGCGAACTCATCAAAATTCGATTAGCAACGATGATTATTTGAACATGAGCCCGGTGAATGTACGCTCATCGGCCATTCCCAAAGTATCTAGTCAAAGTTCACAACTACAACAATTACAGCACCAGCAGCAACAGCCAGCAATGCATCATGTGGGTTCGGGTAATGCACCCGACGGCTACATGGAAATGTCGTGGAACAATCGAACGACCAATAACAATTCAAATAACCTAAATAATAACAATAACGTTGGCCATATTGCCCTTGAACGAAACCGACAGTCGTCATCATCATCGATATCATCATCAAATGAGTACATCAACATGAATTACACTGGTAATATTCCGCGTACATCGAGCGCAAGCAGTGACTGCAGCAGCACAAGCAGCATTGAGATTTCCACTCATGCCATTGAATCGCGCAACAGTCGCATGCGTTCACTTCCAATTGCAATTAAGAAATCATCATCATCGCAACAATCTCAGCCAAACAATGCCACAATTTCCAAACAAACCATAGGCGCCCAGCCACCAAATAATCCGTATCACAGTTTTGCCGCCAGCAAAATGGTACCGCCAACATTTTTGAGTCTGAATACAAATATTAAACCGACAAGTGCTCAAACATCATCCGATTCAATGAGTGAATGTAGCATTACAACGCCAACCGGTGACATCACACCACACAATGCATCCACCATTTTCCCATTCAGTCCAAATAGCCCGAATAGCGGAGTGAACAAGCAAATCTTTTCTAGTCAATCGATGCAATTGCATTGCGATGAACAAAAGCGTAAATGCCTTGTGGATGGTACAACAGGTAAAACATATTTAAATTTTTCACTTTTTTTTCCTTTTCTGTATTCTCATTTGGTTAAACTGGGTTTTTATTGTTATCACAGGCACATTACGTTTGTCGGAAAGTGAATCTGAGCCTCCAACCCCGTCTGCATATCCTACTCACAGTGCTAAATCAACTAAAACAATGATTCCGCTCGATGTACTGAGCAGCGATTACGCTGACATGACACTTGGCAGCAGTAAATCGTCAATGCGAAACACCGGGCCAACGCTTAGTCCAAAAGAGAATATAAAAAAGTTGAAATCGTCATTTTTCGGCTGCAGTAAAATCGACGAAAACAAAATGGATTGTTCAGCGTCCGGATCTGGTTCTGGTTCAAATAAGCCAACCACACCGTCAACGACTGTTACAACCAATTCCAAAAATTCCAATTGTGATGAGGGAGACTATACACTAATGAATCCCGTATTGAGCAAACGTATCGTAACGCCACAGCCTCAAATGCAACAATCGCCACAAGAACCGTTCCCATTGAAGAAAACGGCACTCGTGTCAACCAACAACGATCCCGATAAATTGCTGGCCAACACACAAGTGAAGACAAATATCGATGGTTTCAAACCGATTACCTCGCGCGCTGACATAGAAGTGTTCCAACAGAATAAATCCATTTCTACGGCAAACACTTCGTTCAGCCGACAACGTTCGGCACCGATGGACAAACAGGTACGAAAACCATCAATCGACAATGGTGGCTATGAAATGCTTGAATTGAGATCGAGCAGCTCGTCGCATTCGATGGGCGGACGAAGCATCGCCCGACCAAATTCGGTGAATAGTGAAAAGACCACGTTTACCCCATTGAATCGGCCCAACTCCGCCAACAGTGAACGCCAATCAACTTCCACATTTTCGCTGACGTCAACACCACTCAACGAAATGGGAACACAATCGGTATGTACTATACTATACTATACTTTACATTGCCGCTCATCATTTATTATTTATGTAAAACTTTGTTGAATCTGGTAATTGAATGGGTTTTTTTTTCAAATGGAAACTAGGTTCGTTCATCGTCGTCAACATTGTGTGGCAGTGGCACCATAACTCGGCCTCAATCATCGTCATTTTTATCATCGGGCTCTGACTACAGTCAATCATCACGTCCATCGTCTGTCGTTTCGGTAATTGAACAACAGCAACCGCAGCAGCAGCAGCAAACGACACAAACGATGACACCAACGACTGTATTCACATCGCGACCACCATCCGTTAGCTCGGAACGTGAATTACACTATGCTAGTCTTGATTTACCTGCATGTTCCTCAATCACTGCAGCTCCATTGGTCAATAGTACGGCAGGCAATATTGCAACCATTCAAAATCCAAACACAGGCGCTGAAGCTCCCACCTTCACATATGCACAAATCGATTTCGTGAAAAGTAACGAAACCTCATCAACCAACAACAACAACAACAACAATAACAACAACAACAACAACAACAATGCTTGAAATTGAGACATAGAGAACAAAAGACAAGACATACACAGATGCCAATAAACCCCAAATGCTCCAGTTTTTAGCGCCACTCGAAAATGAATCAAAATGTGATCGAATGAAGCAGACAGACCGACAAATGTGAGAAGAAAAAGGAAAACGATACATCGCAGTTGATGCAGATAACCCACATAAATGAGTATTGTGCGTTTGAGAAAATTGGGTCATTCCATTATTAGGAAACGAGGGAAATAGTTTAAAAAGGGAAAAGAATAGGAAACGAAAAAGGAAACAATTTGATTAATTGGTTCGAAATTTAGGAGAAGAATAATCGAGAAGTAACTCTTGATGAATGAAGCGTTCATTTAGGACAGTGCATCGATACTGAACCAAAAATGGAAAACATATACTGAAACTGAATATATTGAAGGTGGCTTCTAAAACCCATAAATTAAACAAAAAATGAAATGAAAATAAAAAGCTTTAAAAACACTTCGAATAAATTCGCTTTGCAAGAAATGAATTTATTGCGAACACATGAATCCCAGTAAGAATTCCGCGTATGTGTACATAGCACATAGTCTTTCGGTTATCTCTCTATTAATTTCCTTATTTTTTTCTGTTGTTTTCAGTTGTTTGTATTCGTTTTTTTATTTTCAAATGAATTTTTTTCAATTTTGAATTTTAAAAGAGAGAAAAACTAGCAAAATGAAACTGAAATTGCAATAAATCTGAACCTACTATGATTTGCCTACTGAGAATTTTTGTTTGGTTGCGTGTTTTTCATGCAATGCAAAGCGCAACACACATTCAGTTATGAAATATTATTAGCGAAATTTTAGTGGAAAATGAAACAGTTGTTCCTTTTGTCTCTTTATTTCTTATTTTTTTCTGTTTACTTCATGAAAATGAGCTAGAGAGAATGAAACACTCATTTCAAATGGATCATTTGTAATGTGTATTTTCCATCGATCCAACCAGTTCCGTTTAGATTTTTACGGTCTTTTGCTGTTTTTAAAACGTCAAATGGCTTTTTTCCATTTAGTTGTATACACAACGAAATGTTGGTTCAAATAGCATAGCTAACTTTTATGTGTGTGTATTTTATTCGTCTTAATTTTTTTTTTGTTTCTCTTTTTATTTAAATACAATATAAATGTTTCATGAAACGAATGAATGGACGGCGTCCTATTGTGGCTTCCGACACTTGTCCATTGACAATACAGCGGAAATCATACGCCTAGTCCGATTCATTTATATTTCCTTTTTCAAATAGGTGTTTTTTTGTTCTTCTGTTGCGATCAGACATGTTTTTATTTTCTTCCTTTTTTCCCCAGTTGATCAAAATTCATTTATTTAATTATTGTATAAGAGCTATATAAAGAGAAATTGCCTATCCTTCAAGTGAGAAATGAAAATGAAAATGAAATTAAAATTACGTTACGCTAAAATGCTAATTATTATAAACTATTATTATGTAACCATAGTCGTTAATTTGTATTTTTGGAACAGAAAGAATGTGAGAGAGTGTTTTGTCGTTTGATTGTTTGTTTCTTGTGGAATTGTAAGACAATGATTTACCAGTATGGTAAGAAGCACATTTAATTTTACATTTTGAGGTATACTATTGTATTGTAATTAAAATATTAAATCATAAGTAATTTAAAGAAAGTAATTTTTTTTTTGTTTTTTTTTCGTCTTTTTCATTTGTTTCTGTTATTTTCCCGCCAAAATGTGGGCTCGACCTGAATATGGGCGACGCATAATGGGTGTAGAAGAAATGTTTTTTTTTTAAATTTTTCAGTTGATTTCAATCGTTTCCGTTGGATTCTATTTCTGTTCATTAAATGCACTTTATTTCAATGGTTTGTTTTTCTGTTCAATGGTTTGTATTGAATTTTCTTATAATTTGTCTTAATTTCATCAAATCAATATAATTTCAATCACTCAGTCAATTTTTGGTCACAAGGGAATCAAAACTAATCCGCTTTTTGTGTCCAAATCCGCAGAGGGATTGACTGATTGCTTCTGAATGAGCTAGAAAAGGAACAAAAAATAACGAAAACTTAGTGAAAATATAGAGAATGAAACACAGTGTGGACACTCCATGTAGAGGAATTTATAAATCTATATATATTTTTTCTCGCCATTTCACATTTTGGAATATCCGGTGCTATTTTCACTCTTATAATAAGCGTTTACGGCGAATAGCTTTGCCAACAACAACCACTCAACAACCGAAATGATATTAAACATTTGTTAGCTCAATCACAAATTGTGTGTGCATTTAATTCACAAATCCATATTCATATTCAATCATTAAATACATTGTTGTACAGCTAAATAATGGCTAAAGAATCGCTGACGGTGCAACCATAGAAACACAGAAAGAGAAAGAGAGACAAACACATATTTAGATTTGAACATTTATTATGACACATTATTTAATTGAAACTCTGTTTAATGCTCTCGATTAAGAAATATTACCACGACTGCCAACAAGATCAAACTATACACGGCCCACTTGTTATTTGACCTTAAAAATTACACCCACAAACACATACACACCAAGAATGAGAAATAATGAAGAAGAAATCTCTTTGCAAGTTGTAAATAAAACCAAAAACAAAAACCATATTCAATGTAGCAAAATTGGAACCCAGCAACAAAAAAAAAACGTATACTAAAAGAATGAAATTCTCGTTTGCATAAGACCCATTGGAATCGAATCAAATTCGGCATATTTTTCTGAAACTGTTTATCTAAATTAATCTATTTTCATCGGATGAAACTTTTAGATTGAGTTAAACGATAAGGCTTTTATCTGCGTGCTAAATTCTCTCACATCCAGTTGTAAAGCTTTGTTTGAATGAAAAAAAAGAAAGAAAAATGCTTGAATCAGTCAATTTAGCCGCAGCTTTTTATTCCAAAATTATTATTATCAAAATTCACTATACAAGGAACATTTTGTGACTCACAAATTATGAGTATTAGTCTAATACTATTAAATTAAGGCACACTTATGAAATTCAATTGGCAAACGGACTTGTTTTTTTTTAGAAAATTTTGGGTTTTTCTGAAAAACCACAAAGAAAAAATAAAATTATGAAAAAATATTTGCATTTCTTAAATTGTAAATATTACTTGAGATGTAAGGCATTTGTTGATCACATCACATGAGCACGAATTGAGGATTTCGTGTTAAGCCAGCAGAGAGAGACAGTGGCGCCATATTTTTTTTTGAATATACGTAATTTTGTTAAGCTATAGCTGTTAAATTGGCACAAGTATTACTGTTTAACTGAAAAAAAGAAAGAATAAATGAGCTTGCGAAAACGAAATGCAAATTGCTGTATGTGGCGCTCGTCTTACAATTACGTGCACCTTTTATGTGTGTGACAAAATGTGAGGAAAAATTAAAAAAAAAACATTTAAAGTTTGAATATTAAAATAATGGAAAATTGCTTTGAATGCTCTGACAAACAAAATAACATTTTAAAAAAAGGTACATATATATTTTTCCCCTCAAGTCGTTATACAATTCATTACAATCCCTAAACACTATTTTAGTGAAAACATGATGTACAATTGATGAGAGCTTTTTTTTCTTGCGATTCATCAATTGCATTTGTGTTTTGTGTTGCATTGTATTTATTATTCGACTTGCACAAACAATTCTGTAAATAAAACCATTTAATAAACAAGTATTTATATTTAAATGATTCGGTGTATGGATTCAATTTTTTGTTATTTGTTTGTCTTTTTTTCAGGGAGTGTATTTTCACTGCTGAGAAGGCTTAAGCGTTATTTTGGAGCATTTACGGTGCGAAATTTTCATTCACAGCATAGATCCAAATTGTTTCTCCGTTGATGGAGATGATTATTCTTCACCACAGGCCTATTCAGTCGAGAAAACGCACTCTCTGCTTTTTTTGCACTTCAGGACTATAATTCTTCCCACTCTGTACGAATTTAAATCCAAAATGGATCATTTTGCATGCAAAACAAATATTTTTTTCAAACTTCATACAACTTTATATTTCTGTTGAATACCAAATATATTATTGAGTCTTCGGAAACTTCGTTCAAAGTCTCATGGGACTTCTAGCAAAGTAGAGTGAAACCGGATAGTGGAGATTTTGCATTGACATTTCCGACTGTAAACATGACAACAATTCATATGCGTGTGCTGTGAAAGTCACTTTGTCATGCGTCATTCACATTAATGCTTTGACTGATTGTGGTGAACAGTGGTGAGATTGGAAACGCCATACATTTTAAATACATTATTTGTTTGGGAATTATATCCAATTATTTTCTTTTATTGTTGATATTCCGGCTCTGCAAAGCCTAGGCTTCATCCACGATTTGTTTTTCAAAGAAATATTTCGAAAAAATCGTGAGTTTGCACTGTCAACACTTGTGTGATTTTTCATATGATTTTAAAGTCATCGAATATTGCCACCCGTTCACACATTCAATGAACTTGCTACACCAAGTGATAGTTTAGTTCATTGGTGACGTTTTTCAATCCGCCATACGTTTTTATATGTGTGTGTACATCAAAATGTCAAAGTTGTCAAGAATGCAACCGTTCTCCTCGTTCTTTTCACTAACTGCTACAACGCTATCTGTCAACCGGAGTTCTTTCACCGTTGGAAATATTTACAATGGATACAAATGAATCATCAGAAATTATAGGCAAATCCTAGCGATGTACGCAAATGCGTGATTTAAATCCGTTTTACCCAAAGAAGACACTTTATTTTGTTGCATTTCGATTTATTTTAGTCGTTATCACAACAACTCAAATGTGTTTCAACCTAAATTGTAGATCATCGTTCGAATGATACACAAGTGTAACTCCTTTTAAAGCTGAAAATTTGAAATGTTGTGCTTGGAATGTCCGTTACTTTCTAAAAATAATCGACTTTTCTCCAAAAAAAAATATTTTTTTTTAATTTCTATTGCTTTTGGCGCGATTGGACATATGTGTCCCATTGGTCGGTAAAGGTAACTAATTACCACTGATTTCCCTGTATTTTGACCATTATTCGCGAATTTTCAAACACAAAAATTTACAAAAGTATCATCAAATTCGGGATCAAATGGGCACAACAAAGCAACAATTCAAACCATTTTCGGTTCCATACAATTCTGAACATCTTAAAAATGAAAAAGATTTTACACATAGTTCTTATGGGAGACATATTTTTTTCCATACAAAGGTAGTTACCGTTACCGACCAATGGGACACATATGTCCCATCATTTTTTTTTCTTTTTTTCATATTTTCAGTTTAAAAAATTAATTTTTGATAACACTTTTACTAAGGTTTTTGGGGTCGCTGAGCACGAATCTGCAATCAGAATTGCAAAATTCCAAGCCGTTCAGTTTTGGTCGTCAAAGGGCTAATAATAAGACAATGATTACAAAGTTTACAAGTTTATCAATTGCCAAACTCAAAATAATATCTTCTTGATTTATTCACAAACGTACAGAGCATTGACAACATCATTGCAGCTAATAATAAATGCAACTAGAAGAAGTATCATCTTTGCATTTGAATCTCTGTCAAAGAAGAGTGAAAAAATCAAATCTTATTGGCATCAAGAGAAAGCGTTTCAATTCGAATAAATGCTTGTTTCTGTTTGTTTTCTTTTATTTATATCGCTATATTTCGATTAAATGTGAAAAAATGATGCTTTTATTTCCTAGAACTGGTTCGAAAATTCACATGGACTGTATTTTTCATTTTCTCGATCCATTAGATTTACCAGTTTAAAACCTTTCCTCACACATACTTTCAGAAAATTCTTCGCCCTATAGAAGCGAAAAACCAACATGATTCGTTTCAAAGTTTGGTTATTATTCGACATTCATTTATGTGATAAAAACACGTTCAGTAAACATAACTTTTGTCATCATCTTCTATTTTCGTCCGTTCATCAGTTCCCATTTTGGGTTGCAAATGAAAATAAATTTCAAACATTGTCACGCGCAGTCTCTTGAAAGTGGAACGCAATTTCTCCGTTTGGCCGCATTGACAACGCTGAGACGACCTTTGGAACGTCGGCTTAAAAGAGGGGAAATGACAACAGTACATCTCCAAACTGAGAGCAGTTACGGTTGATTTTTCGCAAAGCTTCTCCTCTATCGGTGTAAAAAAAAACGCGAAATTAAAAATACCACCGACTGATATGACTTCATTCACTCTTCGACCAAAGCTTTGCCGTGGTATCTGAGATACTGTGCCTTGCTTTTATAATACATCTGATGCAAGTATCGCATCGGAATGGTGGCGGTTTTGAAAACTTTTCACTCGTCTTCTTACTGTTCGATAACTTACAGGCAAACATTCACTGCTACAGTTGAAGTGAGTGGCCAAGGAAGCGTTCCATCACATTTTTCCACATAAATGATTTATGTATGCACTGGATGTTCACTTACGAACCGCAAAACTTACTTATTAAACAGCAGCCACTGTTCCAGTCTGAGAAAAATGTATGAAGATGCTGGTAGCAGCAGTGTATTTGTTCAATTTGTTGGGGTGTCTGAAGACTGTGCGATTTACCGCTTGAATTATCTATTGTAAGAAGCGGCAACAAATCAAGCAATACCCATAAATAATAAATGTATGTGGATTACGTCATGTGTGTGTCTCTGTCTCTGTCGAGCGCGTTGGACAGCTGTTTCAAGCAGATAACATTTTTCAGCGAGCAAAAAGTTCTCGTACACAAAACTTGAAACAGCCACACAAAATGCAAGTGAAACATGTTCTCGTTTCCATCGCTTTGATGCGCATAAAAGCTGACAACATTTCAACTCATTCGTTTATAGTTTGAACTAGGAAATAGTTGGTTTTTCCTCTGTTCGACTTTTTTTTGTTTATTTCGCTCAAAAATTCTTTTTCCGGTTGTGTGCTTCACTGAAGTGTAATAAATAAAAAGCCACCGGTCATCCGGAGATGGTAAACTTTTTACCGGATTTCGGCTTGGCTTCGACAACGGCTGACACATGATATACGATGTAGTTTCTTATCTAACAACTTGGTGACAAAGTACGATGGATCAGTCGTCAACCATCACACAGCGACGAAGACAGGGTTTGATTTAATTTCATTCGAGTGTTTCAACAAAATTATAATTATTCCTACAATGGTTTGTTTGATAAACTTTTGTACGTGTTCACCTGTAATTCTTGTTTCCTCTTACTTTTGAATTATACATTTAAGGCTAGTTAAAACGGGCGTAATAAAATTATACGTTGAATAAAACAAGTTTGAATTCATTTCCATCATTTTCATGAATTTTTTACTTGATTTAGGGAGCTGTATGTGTGTGAGTGTGTACATAATGATCTCTGTTGTGTATTAACAATAGAGTGGAGAAGTCCCTCTGGGTTTTTTTTTGAATTAAACATGCCAAGGATTAAGTAAAACTCATAACTTTGCATTTTATGCACAAACATTACCGTATAATTACATCCATCCGGTTTTCATGATGCTGTGAAACAACGAAAAGGACTACCGAACGCCTGGTGGATGGTTTTTCGGCAACGAGAATGATTGTAACGACAATCTAATGTTTTGAAATTAATTCGAAGCGGCGACAATATATTGGCACGATACGAAAATTTGCATTGGAAATTGATGACGCAATCTATTTCGTTGCGTTGTCATAGTTGATGCTGCTGGTGTGATACTGCTGTTGTCATTGAAATGGAACGCCATATTTTCGAAACTAAGCCGAGCTGAAATTTATGCGCGACGTTTTTGTTTCTGTGGAAATATGCGGTTTCGAATCATTTATCATGTACCGACGAAATGTGTTTGCAGCATCGACCAAACATACATAAATATATATGTCCAATGGTATGCTACAGCGATTCAACGAATTCCCGACTCTGCCCAACTCAAACTAACAAAAAACTAATGATTTCTTCCATATGTGGAGTCTGTTCCACATCGATCGTCGGGCTGTTTCAATTTTGCTGGCTGCTTTCCATTTTTCGGCGACTTCATCTCTCTCGATAATCCATAAAATTAAATGAAAATGCCTGTCGGCTCATATCCAGCCGCAATATTAAATTACCACAGATATAGTCGAAATAAGTGTTCACGATTTACTGTTATCTCATAGATGAAAAGACGAATTGATTCAACTAAGAGCCTAAAACAGCATGAGACGATTTGTAGTGTATAACCCTTGCAATTAATTTGCGAAAACAAGTGTTGCGGAGGTTTTGTATTTTATTTTCTAACAGCATGTAAAGTGGCCGCTTTGCTCGTGCATGTCTCTCTGTCTGTGTGTATGGTCGTGGCAATGAAGCCCAAAATGTTAACGGACCATACATTAATATCGCTTCGATATAGGCCGTGTTTAGGCATTTCTTTATGACGTTTGTACAAGAAGCTCACCATACATCGTCGTAGATACTAACAGTCATTTCACGTACTTTATCTATGGATAACCGAGGTTATATCACTTCTCATTCGCCCACCAAAATACACGTTGATAGATAGTCCACAATTTAATTCAGTTCACGAATGAAGAGAGAAAGCGAAAAAAAAGCTAAGGAAAATGGCCTAAGCAGCAGCAGAAGCGGCAGCACACACACAAAACGAGACGCGACACGAATAAAAAACCGATAAAAAGATGAAAAAGAAGAAGAAAAGCAAAGAATATGAGGCGGCTTCGACATCGGACAACGAAACATGCAGAGACGAGCTGAAGTAACATTTTGGATATTCTTAAGGCGCGCTTATCCTTCATGAGCCGATTACAAGTTGGCCACCATTTTTCGATGGATTTTTGTATGTGTGTGTGTGTGTGTGCGAAGGCGGCAATTCGATTGACATTTCTAAATTATATATTACATGGTTTTTGCTGCTATTGCTGTGAAGGATCGTTCAACGGTTTTTTTTTCTTCATTTTACGATGTTGTTTTTGCAACGCTCACAATAGATTTTCGGTCGACTGCGTCACACAAATATAACAACATGCAATCAAAAGAAGAAGAAGAAAAAACTCCGAAGAAAACAGCCAACAATTATTAATATGCGCGTGGGTTGTGTATGGCAATCAAAAGCGAATTGCAAAATATTAATATATGGTATGGAATGACACGCGCCCACCATGAGAAATGATAATTGCAATCTGTATGTAGTTGAGAATATGAATGATATGGAATGACAATACAATGATGTAATTATTCAAATGGAACAACGTTTAAATGTTTTGAAAAAGCGACGCATCCACTAAACTATCCATCCCTCCCTCCGAAATATGATAATGCGACGGCGGCGACGGCAACATTGAAATGTGTGCCCCATTGCCTAACCACATAAATGGATGATGTTGCAAAATGAGTCTGAGCTGCTTTTCCATATAATTGCCAACATATTGACTTTCTACAGCAAAATTCCATATTTAATAGCTCAAGTTGTTGGTGTCGCGCCCGGTTGCTATATTGCACAGACGTTGACTGGAGTTAATGAAAATAACACAGACGAAAAATCACAGCTACGAATCTCCGTTTACAAGGAAACGGAGCAAATAAAAGAAGAAGAACAAAAAAAACGCAAAGAATGAAACGAGAGCGAGAGAATGCATTCTCGCACGATAGACTAAAGCCGAAGTACCATAGACACGAGCCGTTGTACGTAACATTTGTTAAAATATGCGCAATCAGAAGACTTAAAAATTGTTCCAATCACTTCATAGACAAACAATGTGATATCGAAACATGGTAGTACAATACAAGTACGTAATGCCGTGCAATAGTGCCTGGCAGCGTGTTCGTTTTTCAATGAAAAATGAAAAATAGCTGTTAATAAAAGTTTGTGACTTGTATCATGTGTCGACTACAAACTGATTTTCGCAGGCGATGCAAACAAATTGCCGTTAAATTTGGACTACACCACTGTGTCGAGCGCACAGTGCTTCAACTACTAGCAGACACATGCTGGAATGAAAATATTCTCCAAGCTCCTTGTTCATTTTCCAAAAGAGAGCGCCTGTGCTTTCCCGCTTCCAACGCCATTGGAAATTTGCACAAAGGCTCTCTCCACATTTGCCATACGTACGAAGTTCGCTCTTTCTCTCCCATCCAGTCGAGGAAATGAAGGGAAAAAAACAACATAGAAGAACGCTTCGCCTATGCACGCATACGCCGCACATTTGCCAACTGTGTGTTAATCGTGGAACGCTGCGAATTGTGCTCTCAATCACTGTGTGTATCGACAACGACGACGAAGACGACGACGACGACGGCAACGAGAACGAGTGAACAATGAAATGTTCCCATTCATCTCGCCTCTTCAGTTGAGATTTGAAGTTCCCGGCGAACGCAACGCCGAGTGCAGGTTATCCAAGTAAGGAAGAAGAAATTGGTTGTTTTTTTGTTGTTGTTGTTCTCATGTTGGTCTGAAAAATCAAATCATCATCGTAGAAAGTGAAGTTACATTTTGTTTCGAAGTTGAATTGTGAGTGCGAATAAGTACAGTGGAAACATTTTGCTAGAATTTAGTTGATATTGGTATTATTGTTGTTGTTGTTGTACGCGTGTCAAAAATACTTGTATGTACGGAAAAAGTTAATGTTCTTCGTTGGAAATCGGATTTCTTAGGGCAAAAAAAAAATTCGATTGGCTGAGCAATTTTTCTCTCTCTCTCTCTCCATTCTCTCTTTTCTAAGCGGCCTATTTTGCGTCGTAAATACTCACCAAATTTCATGCGACCAATTTATCGAATTTAACTGTCGCGGAATCAGTTTTTTTACTTCTTCGGAACAATTCGATTACACAAATAAAAACGACGAGGAGACGCTTCGCTGTTCTTTTTTTATGACTTTTGCTTTCGGGAATTTTAGGCAATTGTCTTCTTTGGTTTGGCGGAAATTCGATATGTGAACGTGTCTGCGTACAGTTCAATGTGTCGATGTCGGTGTCGACGTTTTCGTTTTCTGCTTTATTTCTCGCTTTCTTTGTTGTACTATGGATACTGTGTGTGTGTGTGTGTTAGCAAACAAGTCTGGGCAAAGAAATGTAAAAACAAATACCAATCGAATTTCGAGATTTCCCCGAATTCATCATGCGTAAATTATTTTATTTGTTTGTTTTTGTTTGCACCTTTCGGGAGGGATTCCACTTTTTCTGTCTTCCTCTCTCTCTCTCTCCTCTCGCTGGATATTCATTGTCATTTTTGGCCATTGTTTTTTCATTTCGTTTTTTGTTTTTCTCTTGAATTTCCTTTATTTTATGGCCCCCTTATTTTTACTTGTCCGTCATTTCGGATAGATCCCGTGAAATGAAAAACAAACATAAAATGAAGGACGAATTTCTGATGAAAAAAAAGTAAAAAACAGAAGAAAATAATAATGGAAGGCCTTAATGCTTGGCTATGTGAATGAGAATGAGAATGCCAATGCTATTCATCAAATCGGTGAATTTGTGAATACAACATACATGCACACACACACACACACACAAACAATGCCCATTTCTCTCGTACACTTTTCATGCACTCCAATGATATCAAATAGGTATGTTTTTCCTTCCAGTTTGCATTCACAAACAACATTAGCAAAACAATTAATTACCAAAAATACATTTCAGCACATTGCCATAATCATTCAAGCATAAGCACACACAAACACCAACTCCAACCAACTAACCAACCAGCCCACGCGAACGGTTGATAAAACGAAAACGGGAAATCAAATTTCGACTCTAACAAGATTGTATCTTCTGTCTACTGTCTTAAGTCGATCTCTCTCACTCTCTCTACATCTCTCCAGTTCCGAATTGAATGGTTTTTCTGTTAACGAATGGCCAGATGACGTCAACATATATTTACTGATTTATCGGTCACCACACACCGAAATAAGGAGAAAAAAGGGCCATTTTTGGCGGAATGGAATTAAAATTGATGAAGCTTTGTAACACGATTGGATGTATATACGTTCAGCGCTGATAATAGACAAATATGATGCATGCCTTGGCCTCGTGACTTGAAAATCGCATGATGGCCTTTATTTTGTTTTTCGTGCCAGGCCAACAAGAGGGTGTTATAACGTGCTAAAAGAAATTCTAGAATTCTGTATCACGAGAAATCACACCAAACCAAAAACTATATACACACTATACGAGGCGAACGATACATATATTTCCAAACATATCGCACATCGCATTTATTTTCGATTACAATAATCATTGACGTGTAAATAAGAACTGCTTTGTTTCCGCATCGATTTTTTTACGCATTTTTACTGTGCATAAAACACACACACACACACACTCCTTCACTAGCACACATACGCGCAGGCACGCACACACTAACACACGTCAAGGCACACACGAAAATCGAATGGCATCAAGAAAGAGAGACAGAGCGACCGTGGTTTACGACTGTTTTTGTCAGAATATGAGATCACAGACGATTCACTCTAATGGATTCAATTCCATTCGATTTGTTTCTTCCTCTGTGAATATGAAAGGCAAAAAATAAAGATTTTCTGAATATATACGAGATATTTTTGCTGTCCAATATGCGTGCACACCACACGAACAAACAAAAGTCGTTGAAAAACAACCATTTATGCTGATACAACAAGCGAATAAACAGTCGTGCCGTTTGTGCGGTTGTTTTGAGAGGAGCACGGGGAGAGCTGTGTGTTTTCTTTTCTATGAAAAAAGGGAGCAAGAGCGAGAGAGCGTGATGACTGAAGAAAAAAAAAGTTGAATGATGGTTGAATCGACGCTATTTTGGTACGATATGATCCAGCAAACGACGCTCGAGAAATAAATGCAAATGAATTCTCCATATAATATTATGATTCGGCACCGGCAATAGCAATAGCAACGTCAACCGTCCACCACACACCAGATTGGTCTTCTCACACATACACAAAAACCCATGGAAACGCTTTAAAGCGCACGGTCTCTTTTCCAAACGGTTATACACGTTTTTTCCCCGAACTTTTTATCGCAGTTGTGGCTTGAAATCGGTTTTTTTTCCTCTCGAAGGCGGAGGAGAGGCGGCGGCCAAAAAGGAACCTGTTTGCCTTTGCGAAATTGCCCGGTTGATGTAAAAATACGTGCTCTTTGTTGAATTTATTTGCCATGGGGAAGAAATGTATAAATGATGAAAACATTGCCGGGCACAAAACACACCAACACCACTACCAGCAGCACCATTCGCAATTGCTGTCATCAAAGCTCTGCTGCACACCTATTAATTTTCATGGAAGTGTCCGTAAACTCATTTTCCTAATGCAAAACCTGAGCCACAACCACTTCAACCCTGGGTTGCCTCCTCGGAATATGTCTTGGCCGTGGATGTACACATGCATATATATATATATATATACGCCACGCTGTGTTATTTTGCTGATATTTTATTCCATTAATTATGCGAAATACACAACACTAGATGAAAATGGGCGGCTGTATGTCGATAGCATCAAATAGAGCGCTTTAATCAGCATAATAATTTTACTACTAGCTAGAATTTGAACCCATACACACACAACTTCAAAGAAATAGAAACATTTCAGCTGGCAAAAATCGTATACGTTAGGCCCGCTAAGTATACGCGCATCAATTCGTTAAAACACACGGTCAAATACTTACGCTTTGCAGCTGCGTTTCAATCTCGACGACTATTGTTCGTTCGTCTTCTCTTCCATTTCGGGGTTTCATTTCGTTTTTTTTTCTTCTCTTTTCCGTGCAATTTTCGACAAGCTAGTTTTGTAGAGCTGCATTTTATTATGTCAAGTATCTTTCTCTCTTCCTCTCGTTCTCGTTCTTTGCTTTTCATTGCCATCTAAGTATAGTTTGCGATAATATAGACTGGTTCTGGGTGAAGTGTGAAGATAAATTCGTTGAACAAGCGAAAATGACTACTCTCAAAATAAAGTTCCTGATTAGATAAGCAAGTGTGTGTGTGTGTGTGTGTGTGTGTGTGTGTGTGAATCCCCATGCGGGAATTTCGCAATCTGTCGTCGCTGCCGCTAACATTGCAGCTTTTACCAGTATGCTACGAGACAGTTCCATTGTTATATGGATGATAGCGAACAGACAATATTTGACTGACTTTGAAGTGCATGATGGAAAAAAAAGTGTTTGTTTTCTATTGAATATGTATTTAAGCCGATTATGTTGTTTTCTCATGTTTGCCATTGTTCATGCACTGCGCTATTTATAATGGCGTTTGAATATACTTCATCGCTCTATCGTGATTTATTTTTTGTGGTAGCAACATTTCGAATTTCATTGTTCAGACTCCATATCACTCTAGCTTGAGAACGGCGGCAACAAACTATAACATTTTGTACCGTTTTGTTGACAACTTCTGTCTGCTCTAATCTTATCCTTAAAATCTCATCAGATTCGAGTTTCCGTCGTCATCGTCGTCGTCGTCTTATGTACAATGTAACGAATTTTTGCCGAAAGCACCCCACAACATTGTTGAAATTTAAAAGGCATCAAGTGGCAGAAGACACTGGGTATGTGTGTGTATGTGTGGCACAAGCACTCACAACATAGTATGAACATAGCATCTTGAAAGTCTTTGTTACAAAATTACTTCCTTTCGGTTAATGTTACAAGCAATTTTGTGTACTGAAATTCAATCCAAACAATTGGCCATAAAATTGGAGAGGTGGGGGGGTGGTCTTCGATGTGCATTTCATGTGCGCATGTGAAACTTAATCGAATTCGTTCAAATTGCAAAAGCTCTCTCGAATTGGTAATTCGCTCGTTGGGCAACAAGCCAATGTATCTATCACGATATTATATTCGTGCGCTAGGATCGGGTTCGTCGAAGAAATAAAACATGGGAAAATTATTGATATTTTGCACATAATAACATGTTAGTTGATGGAAAATATCATGTGGCTGCCGTTGATATGTTATAGCTCCGAACTAATTGTAATTCACAACGAAACAATGGAATGCGTGTCCAATTTGCCAACTGCACATGACAACTTTAAATTAATAAACAACAATTACTATCGTCGGAGCTGGTGCTGTTGTTGGACATGTATGTGTGGGTTTAGAAACTTGTCTAAATTAAGTGAAGTGGTGAAATTCTCATCGGACCGCATAATTTTGCATCTGAGTTGCGATTCGGTTCAAATGTTGGCCCATTTTTTAGCATTATTTGCATTCGGCTTCGCCGTCCATCTCTCTTTCGCTTGTTCTCGGTGTTAATTTTCCGCATCAATGTATGTGAAAGATTGTAATTTCGATGATCGTTGAAAATTCGCCAATTTGTTTGCTTAACTTGCGCGCTGGGATTTCCATCATTTCTGAACCAAAAACCAAAAAACATTGGTCCAAAATGGAAATGCACTATCGGCAAAACTAAATCGAATACACTCCCGAAGTCAATCGAAAATGTTGCAATTTGTAATGGATACTCACCGCAACATCAGGTGGATATATGTGTGGCATTACAGTGCTGCACTACCGATGTGAGAGATACATATGTATTGAAGTGCATTGTTGCAAAGCCTGTGCTTTTGAAGGCTAGTTTGATTGCACTAGACTTTTCGAGTTTCGACATTTTAACTCGTCTTGCAATGTTCACACACCATTGAATGCATTTTCACGAACCGTTCGATTATTGCATTATGTAACGGGCGTCGTTCCATTCATTTTTCATTGGAACCGTTTCTCGCGCGCACATCTGTCATAATAGATCGCATACATAGTCATGTTAATGCATTTTAAATGCCACTCACTAATAGCTTCAAGGTGGATATTGACGTTTGGCTTATTAGCCGCCGATGTAACTGGAAACACCGTGCAACACATGTTTCTGCACATGAGAAATTCCGATTGTTTGTTTTAGAGGACCAAAAATCAAGCACTTTTGCATCATTAGTTTGTTCGAAACCACGTCTAGATTTTTTTTATCGACACATATAACCCAAATTTCAGGTCAAAATGAGCAAATCACAAACATGAGCTTCGATTTGACAGGTAAAGGCAAATGATTTCTACCTTTTCTGCCTTTGAAAATCTAGTATGATCCTTTACAAACATTTTGGGTACTTACATGACCAAATCGAGTGATGTTTTCACATATTTCTGGCCGCATATTTGGTTGGTTCGATTTCAACTCTAAAAGAATCGACTTTTGACCAAAAAATCCTTAAGTATAGACTTTTCAGGGATGCTGTCTTAGTGCAATGTTATTTTTTCTCGAAAATATGAGGAGTCTACCCAGACAAAAACTCTCAAAATTGACTTTTCGAGGTACCTTCCGAACAAAAGTTACGTTTTTCATGCATTTTGCTATGAAAATATCATTTTTTGTTCGGGAGGTACCCCAAAAATCGTTTATAAGAGATTCTGTGTGAGAAGATTCCCAATATTTCTCGAAAAAATTAATTTTTTACTAAGAAACTTATCTAAATAGTGTATTTTTAAGGTGGTAAAATAATATTTTCATAGCAAAATGCATGAAAAACGTAACTTTTGTTCGGGAGGTACCTCGAAAAGTCAATTTTGAGAGTTTTTGTCTGGGTAGACTCCCCATATATTTGAGAAAAAATAACTTTGCGCCAAGATACCATCCCTGAAAAGCCTATATTTAAGGATTTTTGGCCAAAAGTCGATTCTTTTAGAGTTGAAATCGAACCAACCAAATATGCGGCCAGAAATATGTGAAAACATCACTCGATTTGGTCATGTAAGTACCCAAAATATTCGTAAAGGATCATACTAGATGTTGAAAGGCAGAAAAGGTAGAAATTATTTGCTTTTACTTGTCAAATCGAAGCTCATGTTTGTGATTTGCTCATTTTGACCTGAAATTTGTCTTATATGTGTCGATAAAAAAAAATTTAGACGTGGTTTCGAACAAACTAATGATACAAAAGTGCTTGGTTTTTGGTCCTCTAAAACGAGCAATCAGAATTTCTCATGTGCAGAAGAAAAAGTTGGAATTTGTTACACGGTGAAACAAGTAAACACATTCGTTCCATCACAATGACATAAGCTGATTCGAATCATATAAATTCCGTATTGTAAGTTTTACTGTTAACATTTGATGTGGCTCTATATTTTGTATGATACCAACTAATGCGCTCTCAGTTGTTAGGGCAAGAAAGAGTGAAAAAAGTGAATTATTCTCCGAAACCCAACGAATCATTAAAATTACTTAATCATGCAGCAATGTCATGTTACATTTTCCGCAAACTTTTCGATTCGTTTAGTTGTTGAATCTGATTATGTGATGTAAAAACTTAGTCTAATTTGAAAGACCTTTTACGTCAAAGTTTACTTAATGCGATCTCAAATGGAAACATTGAGAAGCGCATCGACTGAAGTGGTGCGCGTTGCGAGCAGTACGAGAAAGAAAGGGAGAGAGGGAGAAAGAATAACAGAGAAATTGAGAGGAAAAATCTTTGAGACCGAAAAGTATGTAATATGTACTGTGGAGAATGTGAATCTTGTTGAAAGTTCAAATCTGATTAAAATTTTCAATTTACAACAGAATGTTTGTAAGAAAGCCAATTATCTGATTTTCATGCTTTTGCCATCCATTCGCCCAGACGCATATTCACTCGCTCAATCTCCGTCTCTGTCTTTGCCTCTGCCTCTTCCCCAATCGACCAAAGTCGATATTGGAAAACTATGCATTTGAGAGATTGGCAACTGAATGGCATTTTATGCTTCCATACGCCGATTCGTATGCCTTATGGCTGGTGTTTGTGTGTCAGCATTAATCACTAAGAGCTTTTGTACAAATAATCGAACAAGTGATTATGCTGTATGTGTGAACGCAAATGGCACGAGCTAACAAACAAATTCATTCTGTCAAAGTTTTAAATACAAACCAAACTTCGATAAAATCAAATTATCTGTAGCAACATGCTGCAGAGAGGGAATATATACTACGCAAACACTAACGAACACACACACATACCCAAACACTCACTTGAACACTTATGGATGAAGCGAGAACTGAGAGCACAAAGTACGTGCACGCAAAATAAAATCATCGACGGCATATGTGCGGCAGCTGCACTCGTTCATCGATAAACATGAAAAACGATTATCATTAGAGTGTCGATTGTGTCAGGCGACGATGTATTGGGATGGAAACAAATGAGAGAGGCAGAGCAAGCCAGAGAGAGAGAGAGACAGAGAGAAGAAGCATATCGAAAGAATGTCTCGGCATGCACTACAGGGGAGATATATTTAATATAAGCCCCCCGTTCCGAACCAAATTCAAAACGATGCATTAATTTAAACGCACCGAACCCCATTCGGCTGTACATTTATGCCACAAGAGATTGTTTGCTCCAATGACAACAACATCTTCTTTATCTCTAACTATTGTACTTGTGCCCCGCAACAGCAGCCTTTTATGTTCTCTCAATGTTCATTGCTGCGTGATTCGATGGAATAAAGGCGGGTTGTGGCTGCGTGGTTCTAGCTTTAGCTTTTGGTTCACATGCTCTCAACACATCGTAAATGGAACTTCACTGAAGTGTGTGCAAGCCGTATGTGTGTGCACGAGGCGAATTATTGAGATAAAATTTCGATAAAATTAAATTAACAATTTATTTCAAGAAGGAAGACAGAGACAGGAAGAGAGGAAGTGTCGACTAAAAGCGCCCAACAACACGCAGACCAAAGCCTAAGTCATTGGATGCGATGAGTTTCGTTAAACCATAGATCAAGCCGAAATGCACTTAATAAAAAGTTAAGTAACATAAACGTGGAAAAGGGATCGAGTCGAATGGATACGTGTTACGTGTACATTTGAAAGTTGTGCTTTATTTTTCGCTCGGTCGCCCGCGCTTCCTCTTTCCGCAATGTTATATTGATGAAATTTTCTGTGTAGAAATGCTCTTTATAACATAAATCAGGCGAGAATATACCCTCCACCACCAGTAACCAACACAAAAAAAAACAACAATCTCAACAACATATAAACAACCGCCCGAACGCGCACACGCATTTAGAACGAAAAAGAAAACACCAACACACCAATGCAATGAAGCATCGCTTATTTATTATTAGTGATTATTGTTTTTTTTTCAGAGTTTATGCGAAGCGATAAAATTATACGAAGTAGCACTTCAGACACAAACAAAAATAAGTTGAAACGCGTAAATTTATCCAAAGGACACCAAATACGGTTCGGCGGCAAAAGACTTTGAGACAGCACAAGCGCGTTAAACACCAACATAAAAAGAAAAAGAACAAAAATTCAGAATTACTGTTGTTGTTTTTTTTTATATCGCAAATGAAGTAGAAAAAAAAGAACAACGCAGCCAACATACTTCAACTCCGCCGTTTCAAACGTGAAAATAGACAAAGCAAAAAATCACTTGCGTCAGCATCACAATCACCATCAACGTACAGTAAAAACAAAGCAGAAAAAAGACAGAAACAAAATAAAATAACTAGCAAATTCTACGAGAATCAGCTTAATAAAAAACTTATGTTGGGATTCATGTCCGGACAACTACTTGGCACACTACAAGTGCCGCTCTTTTGGATATTCAAGTAAAACGGTAAGTTTCACAAGCTAATAAAAAAATCCCTCTATATATATTTGAGTTGTTCATTACATTTATTAGTAAGAGAACACTTGAAAACTCTTTAGAGACTTGCAAATTATCGCGTTTTTTCACGTTTTCGATGCGACAAACGAGAAAAGTTCGTTATAGCAATCATTTTAGTTAAAACATTATTTGGATTTTGTGTGATTTTTTCCGTGCTGTTTCCTCACTCGTGTAAAAGCTCGCAATAAATGAACGAATCGAATGAAATTTGACTACGAAATATTATAGCTGAAATATTCTCCCAATTTTACACCCCATTCGTCCGCACTGCGTTTGAGTGCGAGCAAAATCGAAAGCCAATTTTTCATTGATATCTTATTTACGGCGAAAATCAGATTTGAATAGCATTTTCGTACACAGTAAGACAATTATTATAGATGCGTATGTTGTGTGTGTGTGTGTGTGTGTGTTTCGCTGCTGCTTTTGATCAAATGAGAGCCGCACGCATTTACGGCGTACAGCTGCGTGCTGAGCATCGTATTACATAAGCCCAAGATAGAACCATCTCAGAGGTCGAAAAATCGTAACATGTACACACAATTTCGGGATCATCTCACGAATGATTTATTTCTTTGTATTCGGATATATTTTTGTTCATTCCCCCTTCTTTTCTATGAGGAAAAATTGGAGCGCGCACATCGATGAGATAAAGATGAAGAGGGAGGAATTGAGAGCGGGGGAGTTTAAAATGTTGAGAAATTCATCAAGACTACGACAGTACAGAATCATTGGAGCATAACATAAATGCGATATTTTGAAGTGGATGCGATGCTTGTGTTGTCTTTGCACACCTTCGTTATATATATAGCATTAAGATAACGTTTGGTCCTCTTCTCTGCTATCACATTCTCCCTCTCTCTTCTGTGCTTTTTCTGTCTATCTCTCTCTCTCTCTCATTCGCTGCTATCTCTCACGCATTTGCGAGACATGCCTTAATCTCAACGTATTTGATTTACCTGTGTGTTATCACGAGGGAATGCTTGTGTGTGAATGGCGCAGAAGAATAGCACCAAAGAGACGGCACATTCATTTTCGGGCGGCGGTGGCAATGGCAGTGGTGGTGGAGGTGGTGGTAGTGTTGATGGTGATAAACGAACAATGTTGTTGCGTGGCAGAGCATCTCGCGCTTAGAATGCTAAGTATTTTTTATATATATTAGAGGCAGACAACATACGCGCATCATTCTACCGTTCGACTTTCCATTTTAATATGATAACTGCCAGACATTATAGCAGCGCCCATTGGAATAACATAGAGCATGCCATGGCACATCGCATCGCTTCGGCATCGCCATGAAATATAATCATTCGCTCGCACACCATTCTCGAATTTGCATTGGACAAAATGCGAATATATGAATCGATTAATAAGCCCCGTAAGCCGAGAGAGAGAGAGAGAGAGAGAGAGATAGAGAAATTTTTGTCTCTCGTTCCACGGTAAAATTATTTTCATTTTATATTTTCCACCTTTTTGTCGATGGTTTGCACCATTTGCCGTGCGTTCGCTTTTATCGATCCGCACATTCGGTTAGGTCGTCTTTCTCTCTATCGCTCTTTATCGCTGTTTTTCTCGGGCTCGCTCACTTCTCAAACAAAATCGCCCTCCTTTCCATTTCACCAGTTTCAGCAATTCAATAAAGCGTAACCGTATCCATGGATAAGCTATTTAATGCTTTGAACAATCAGACAGAAAACGTTCAACGCTCGAAACATGCGTTCAATAGCATACCAGTCTCTAAGTAAATTAAAGCCGAGAATATAGAGCAAGAGAGAGTGAGAGCCGACAGCAACAACATTAAAACGAACTGTTAAAGGGTAAAATCGAACGGAATGATTATTGTTTGTGCTTTGTCACTGGTTCGCATTATTCTCTATCTCACACACAACGAAATCCATGGTACGTGGTGTACTGTGACAAAAGTGCGATATCCCTTTCGGTATCAAGTTTTTTTTTACTTCTGGCTCATTATTCAGCTCTAATCCCATTGTAACAAAATATCTATGCAATGTTATTAATGACGCATGATCCATTTCCCAAGTAGCTTTTCCGCTTCGAATACCGCGCCGAATTTCATCATAATTATTCTTAATAATTAAGAGTGTTTGCATAGTAAATATAAAATATATTTACAAACGAACAATGGCAAATTGCGGTGCTGTGTCGAATTGCGATGAAAGAAGTTTGCTTGTACGGTGGCAGCCACCATCGCCATCAGATACATAATTAAATGGAAATTTTGCTGTCTTTTCGAATGATAAACGGTCTCTTTTCGAGCGAAATCAAGTTGAGCGAGCGTTTCCATCGACAAAATTCGACTTAACAAAGCGAGAAAAGGAAGTAAATACTCACTGATGCCGAAATTATTAATCGCTTGAAAAATATTCAAGGGCCCAGTTGTGAATGTAATTGGAATTTGAATGGCTTCATGCTTAGATTGTTGGAAAATGGATGGGTGAGACCGCGGCACTTTTGGGTCGGCCTAATAGCCGTCGATTTGAGTGAAATTTAGTTTTCAATTATCATACTAATCCATGCCGCTGAAATGAAGAACCACACACACCGTCGTCCACCACCCGGAATCTATCATCTGCTTGAAATTTTGCAACGATTCCCCCAAAACAATCGATGAATAAATTAGGCATTTCTTCTTTAAGTTTGTATTCCACTTGAATTTTCGGCCGCTATTATTTCATCCGCATAAAACGCTTTGAGAATTAACCGATGACAAAAAAGAGAGAGCTGAGAATAGAATAAGAGACATATTCGTTGCTGGGTTCAAAATCCGATTAGGTTGTGTTGTTGTATGTTAAAATTGTGCAATCCCGTACACGAGATTTCCAGCGTCGACCAATTTGTCGATAAAATAAATATTGTTATATGGTCCCGTGTCGTCTAAAATAGACGATGCGTACACGATGAAAAAGAGTTGATAGTCAACAACGATCGTATGCATTTAGTCGTTTGATGTTGAACTATTTCGAGTCGAAAAATTCGAGGGTAATAGCCGAGTTACGATGGAAACATAGAGAACGGTTTTCGCGCGCGCACACGCTTCGTGTGACATAAAATGAATTCATTAGCATTTTATAGTTCCCTTTTGTCACTCTAACAATCGAGCCTCGAGGCGAGAAAAAGTAATTAGGACAGGAATCAAATTACATGAAATCTCATTACGAAAAAGTGAGCGACAGAGTGAGAGAGTGATAGAGACCGTGTCGACAGATTGATAGAGTTAGATGGAGAAAGAGATATTTGAGAAGCACAAGCAAAAGTCAACAACTTTCCCCGTTATAATTTGCCATTCGGTTGTTGTCCACATGAAAAATTTGCACCACATTTTTGGAACCATTGAACCTCTGCTTCATAAGGCCCTCTCTTTTCACACATCACACACACATAGAGCATGTATCATTAAGGAGACGAGAGTGTATGAATCATTTATGTGACATTTCATGGTGGATGAGATATGGAATATGTTTTAGTCACATTGATGAGCAGCAACTTGATGGCGTTGGCGGCGGCTGCAAAGACGACGACGACGACAACAATGGTGATGGTGGCAATGACGGGATTTGATGTGTGATGCCGCTCATAACTTGGATATATTGATTGATATCTTTTTGCATTCACGACAAATTTTGACAGTTGACGCACGCACAGAAATAAAAAGCGAACCAACCCGACGAATCAAAAAATACGTCGTGGGAACATATATGATGAATGTGAAATCTGTGAGATGTAAAATGCTCGTAAAAAGCCCTCGTTGAACGAGAAAGCGAAAGAGCGAGAGAAATATTTGCTTACCGTGTGTCATCGTCGTTTTTGATGCTCTCTGTCCACCGGAATGAAAAATGTACGCCGTCGAAACATTTTTCAACAATCAATATTCATTTGTTACTCGAAACACTTAGTCACTGCTAAACATTTTCAATTTGATCTTCCAAGCAAATATACAATAAAATGTACTTTCTGTGTTTAGACATCGGTATTTTGAACACGCATTTACAAATACAACGCGACAACGTGGCAAAAGTGTGATTGTTTGTTTTTTTTGCTAGATCCGCGTTGTGATGTTGTTTCTTCTTCATTTCTTTTTTTTCGGTGAAGAATTTTTTGTTCTAACTCTGTGCATCAATCATTCGTGATTGTCAGCAAGGAAACAGGAACACAATTCGTCGACGCACACAAAATGGGGCTTTTTTTGTCTTTAAATGCGCTTCTTTTATTTTTATGGTTATGGCACACGAATATATATAAAAATTTGAGAGGGAGGCACGAAGTGTATGCGAAACAAACTCACATCTATTTAGCACGTATTGTGTATTTGTGCGAGTGTATGTGTGTGTATGAATTGCTTCAATATTATTCTGTCGCACGAAATCGACGACGACGATCCACACAAGCAACATAACACCGTATGAATATTACAACACATGTACTATTCAACGTCAACGACATATCCGAATCACAACCGAAAATGCAAATGATGCAAAAATGCTGTCGCATGATTTTTCGACGCGCTCCAACGTGGGCCACTTTTGTCGTTCAAAATCATATCGTGTACAATTTCTGCTCAGATTGGATCACATCCACCAAAAATGCATTTATTTTATTCAATTTCAATTTTCGCAGCGAAATATCAGATTGAACAATCTCACGCTCAATCCCCATCCCACGCGTATCATTGTGCTGCTGGTGGTGAATATTGTTGTCGTTGTTACTGTTGTTGCTGGTGTTGATACTTCTGATAATATCAGCATTTTCGGATTTGTGCACTCCAAAAGACACAATATAATTTGATGGAAAGCATTTTGTGGGGGAGAACGACGACGGTGAGACCGAGTAAAGGATGGATTGCCCTCAAGTCAATCAATTTTTCACTCAGAATTTTTCACTCGGTGGTCATGCTGATCAAAGATTCACTTTCCAATGAACTGTTTTCGTTTCGA